AACATAAACTTACAAACAATAGTAATATTAACAATAATAGAAAATGAATAAATTGTCATAATTTTATCAGGTCAGTTTAAATAGCTGCATCTGTAATATAGATGGAAGAGATTAGTAGCTAACTAACTAACTAACTAGCTATACAGTGTCTCTTTTTAACACCATAACTAGTAGTTTCATAGTGAGCACATCATTTCATACAATATCTGGTCATATGACATAGAACATGAAATGTATTTAGTTATTTTACTGTTTTCTCTTTTATATACTGATGAAAACAATAAAAGATATATACATATATTTCTTTAAGCTTTAAAGAAACATAGTTACAATTTAATTTCCTCTTAGAAATAAAAGTATACAAAAAGTTTTTGTTTTTTGCTTTACATTCATTCTACTATGACCTCAAATCTGTTGCATGTATATGAAATTAACTAATATTACAAGCAAAATAGCCAGCAGTATTTAATACATCAGCTTATAACTCTCATGAAGATGATCACCTTAGTGACTACTGGTTGATTGAGCACTGAAAAATTCTACTTCTAATCGTGTGAAGTACTTTTCTGAAGTTAAAACTGTTAATTCAGTTGATAATACATATCAAATGTAAAAACAGAATCACTGAACCACTTAATAATAATAATAATTTGCTTTATTCCAGAAACAGTACTAGTGGTACAGTGTGGAATTTTCAGCACATATCTACAATATTTGCATCTAATTTTATCAAACATTCAAAGGAGTATTTCAAAAAATAAATTTAAAGACAACAACAACAACAAAACAAAAAAGTAATTAAAAAATGCGAAAAGACACCAAGAAGTAGAAAGGAAATTAAACAACATAAAATAATGTCTCAGTATTAGGTAGTGGAAGCTATGATATGATTATGCATGGTGACATTTAAGCTATAATCATACAAAGAAGTTATGAAATGATATTTATGAATGTTTATCACCAAGATGATCAGTTAATTTAGTTTGAAACAACACCAAACAATCATAAAATAACATTTCAGGGTTGTTTTTTTTATCAGGTCTAATGCGGTGTTTGTAGTGGTAGTATGAGTAATCCTGCATAATACAAAATTTCAAGATGGTGATAATAGCTTTCACAACCAAGATTGTCAGTTAGTATTGCTGAACAAAAAAAACAACAACCACAAAAACTAATATTACATGATGGTTAATGACAGGACAATTTTGTAATACTCATAGTGCTAATATAGTCGGAACCAGTAGTTACACAAAAGAAGGAATAGAATAAAGTACAAAAAAGTAAGCCAGTGTAATTAATTTAGGTAGCTAAGTATGTTTAAGAAGGTGTTCATTATAGAATACAAATAAGAGAGAAATAAAAGAGCCTAAAATTATGTTATTAACAACAAAGCAAGTCATAGGTTTCGCGTTTTTTTGTCTCTGTCACTTAGAACACGGGCGAAATATGGTATCGTTGAGATATTAATTAATTGTTTAGAGGGACTTATACTTTAACAGATTGGATCCAATGTAATGACCGAGGGGCATACGAAAGCTTGAATAGCATTAGTGTGCAAATTAACAGTGCTCGTGTTACTAGCTTTATACTATACAATACATATCTGTGCTATTAGTATAACTTTTTTTTATCTTCAGGTAATTCTTTTGAATCATGCTACGAAAGATGTTTCCCTTTATATTTCAGTTATCATTCTGTTTTTACATACTACTTAAATTTGTATTAAAATGCTGTCACCATTACTATATAACAATACTATTACCTATATTGTAATGGAGGATACAGAGATTTCTGTTGCAGAATTGTATACCAGACAAAACTACACATAAAAATGTTTAAAGACGAAGATCTTACATCGAAACTCCAACTGTGTCAAATGTCCATGTTCTGCTTCTTTCTCATCATTTAATGCCTTCTGTCTTGATTACCAATTTTCTCTGCTTTTCTTGTTTGCAAGTTTACCCAACTCTCCTCTGTTCAAGATTTTTCAAAATGTTAAACTGTGTACTACTTATCAGCAACACATGCTACAACTACTACAACCCCTACTACCAGTAATCTCCAAAGAATCGGAGTAACATTAAATGTAGACCAATAAACATTGTTCGTATGCTAATTCATCTTCCTACCAATAGACTGTAAAACATCCAGTTTAGTCTTCTGTTTAGATTTTGGCGAAAACGCAGTTGTCTAAAACGATTATTCTGATATCATGAAAAGTCCCCATTCGAACATTAATAGAGAGAAGATCAGTAGTTCAGCGAAAAGTCTGTTTCCGGTGAATTCATTTTCACAACTGTATAATCGCAAATATATATGGTTATTTTGTATGCGTGTATACATTAAATTTGTCAAACGAAAATACAATTAGTAAGTTCTTTGTTGGAGTTACGTAATACAAAAAGTGTTCAGAGGAATTAGACGTTGATATAAGAAGGTATTAACAAAAGTAATGAGTTGTCACAAACGATTGTTAAGGAAGAGTTACGTAACAACCTCAATAGTTTGATGGAAGAGTTGTGCTCAGGGTGTACATGGAAACAAAATAAAATACGGAATTACTCAAGAGTTTTAAGTAGTCAGATAAAACAAGCAAAAGTTGAGTCAAATCAACACAGTTGTTACAATAATAGTGGAAGTGGCTGCATAATTTTCTTTTGTTTGCATAATTCTGGTTCTTCTAAATGAATGCCTAGGGCTTCTGCAATGCGAAGAAGGCAGAAACGTATTGTCTTTGGCAGGTTGTTGTTCATTTTGGGGATTAAATTGAAGGAGGCGTTTTTTGAGATGGAATGACCAGTGGTGACGAGATGTTCGATTATTGCACTCCTTTTACGGCCACTACTTTCTTTCTGCAGCTACGCTGGATAGTATTCTTAGACTCTTTTTGACAGGATGTATGTCGAACGACCGGTGTACCTGGCTCCACAGCAACGGGTGAACTGATAAATACACACAGAAGTGGTCATGTACGAGGTCTTGTCCTTTGGGCTTCTGCTGACTTCCTCTGTTCCCTAATTACACTGATATCTCTTAAGGGAACCTGCTTTTACAAGTAATTGTAAAAAACAAAATGTATGTTCTACAAATTGACTAACAGTTCGAAACCCTCTTGTTATTCATAAAATAATTATTGTATATTTCAGTGAAGAAATCATATGTAGTAAGTGTTTATTACATAATATTTCACATTCATTTCAAATAATCACTTTTTGAGGGAATACCGCAAAGATATGTACAAAAAATAAAGGTCTTCAGTATACAGAAAACTTGGAAGCGGACTAACCTGAGTACAAAAGTTCAAAAACAGACATCTATTGCATGTTCAGGCACAAGCATTAGTAAAACCTTCACTGGCTTAGAATTTAGGAATGAAGAAAGTTTGTCCCCTTCTTTTTGTCTGAATCTTCAACTGGGTTTTCGTGAATCTGTTGTTAGGGTTGCTATTCGAAGTGGAGACCAGTGACTGTCAATACAGACACCAGAACTGCTGAGTCATGGCTAACGCTTCTAACCCATAGAGAACAAAATGCTCGGTCAATATTTTAGTGCTAGCTGTTGTAAAATATTTAGCTAGGATTCCACAGCAAGTAATGCTCAGGTATCTGTGCAAATGATCATCTTCAGTCATATAATACTATGTATTCTTATTGTACATGGATTTTATCAATGTATAGCATATATGATTTAGTGTAACCAAGTCGCATATTCAATTCAGTATTGAATAAGGTCAACTGATGTTGGACGGTTAGGTAGCTAAGTCTCTGGATTGGTTATTAACCTAATGTAATTCGGATCTCTACATGGGCAATAGTTGTCATCACGTTGAAAGCGGCTTCATTTTCATAAACTGCATACATTTAACACCCATGTCTCGAAATCTATTCTGTACTCTTTAATTCATTTTAAAGGCTGAATTACAATTATGAAACGATATTCTAAATTAAATCTACTAGTCGACTAGTCGTAAGATCAAGTGACAATCAATAAACCGTAGTAGAATTATGGAAAATGCCATTAAACCAGAAGGTTCTATCACTTCAGCTATCAAGTAATGCTATATGATTCCAGGAGTAATGTATGTCAGTTGTTACGATACTCATTTTTGTATTATCTAGTGAGTCGTCTGATACAATGGTCAGTTTTTTAAGACTGTCAAGTTGTGAAATTTCGAACTCTGGATTTATTTGCAGATGATTGTTTCTAACGTGAGAGAAACTTTTTTTCCTACAGTTATACAGTTAAGTAACTCAACTATGGTAATATCTGTATTAAGTGAGTAAGACACATGATGCATATTCTTAAATTTTCTATCTCTGGAAACTTCTTTTCAGTTGTACAACACCACTTTTAGATCAAACAAGTTTTCCGCCACATCTCTGCTGATCAGTACTATCCTACTGTGGTGTGCGCTATTGACGAAGTCTTCTACAAGAATCTTGGAAAGCGAAAGGATGGATTAAGTTACAAACAGGAGAAATGACAATACGTGTGAAACAATCAAGAGAACATGGAATGACAACAAAAAAATTCGGATAGAGGAATAACATTCACAGTTTCGATGTAGGATTTTTATATCCTGTCATCACTGTACAACATTTTGCTATTCAATACCACTGTGTTCTGAATATTTTATTCATTTTTGTTTTGACAAGAATCAAATGTTGTTTAAATAGATGAAATCATAGATGCTGAACATTATTTCGCTTTGTATCACCATAGTTACACAAGATGAACTGCTATGTCTAATTTATCAGGTGTCTCCTATTAATATAATTATTAACATTTATGATTTTTGTAAAACAGAAAAAGGATTTTTCTGTATTGTGATTAGTTAATTTGTTAGAAAAAGAGAAGTGTAAAGATTAGCTAGTTTCTTTAAGTTGACCTGATGGATAAAACGATTTGTTAATGAAGAAACAAATTGGTGAGTAGATTTCTGATTGGTTAAAATTTCAATGAAAAAAATTAATATAAATGATGTAGATGCTAGTGATGATGACGACAGTAGTAATAACAACAACAACATAAAACGCTCTTCTTTTATACTTGAACAACTCTACTGGTTCGGTGGTCGCCTGTTTCTCGTTTCATAGATATACAGAAGAGATACAAAAGAATGATAAAATTTATGCTCACTTTAATATTCTGTTTCTCAATCACTGCAAATTCAGACTTTGATCCATGTATTAAAATAATCATTGGTCTGCCAAATTGTATCAGTAAACCATACAAAGATCGTAAGTTCAGTGTTATTAAAGTATCTTCTTCTAAATATTATAAGAATACTTTGTAGTGTATTTTATTCTCTGTGCAAAGTAGTCACTGGATAGTAGATGATAACTATTTCATTCGCCTTGTTCTAAATGCATATAGGAAACCTAACGACTGAGTTTACAGACTGATCAACAATTTAGGTGAAAGGATACTTCAGTGAAGTTTATTTTCTTCAAGTAAAAAAATAAGTAAATAGCAAGTAACGTTGTACTTAAGTACGATTGACTTCTTGGATCACACGATAAGAAAGTAAACTTCATTAAAGTGATTAGAGGTATCAGATGGCTTAGTTAAGTGTCAAGTTTCTGTCATCAGCATTTTGAAATGGACAACAAAAACTGTTTATCATCTGTCAATGAATCGGTGTGCAATAGAACTTAATTCTAGAGAAGAATAGGGGGAGTGTGAATAAATTAAATGTAATGTTGCTGACTTCAAAAACTAAGTTACAAAGATCTCAAAGACGATCTAAAGTCCTTAAGTCTTAATGATAAGTCTCAACCAAATCCTAAAAATAGGTAATACAAAGCATCCTGTTTCGTGACCCGAAGCGTTTAAAATTTTGTTCTCCTTACTAGTTGACTTGCGTTAACTATTAAAAATTCATGTGTCCAAAATAAATATGTGTATCTTGAAAAGTTGTAGGAATAATATTGAAAAAAGTATATCGATAGTTTAAATAGTAGTGCAGACAACAGCTATTAAGAAATATGATCAACAAGGAACACCCTGAGCTGTAGCTGAATCATCAGCGTCCTCGAGGGATAACAGTTGATCAACTGTATGAATTCAAGCACAAACACTCCTTAATACTCTTGTACACTTGTTGAATACACAAAGAACAAACAGAAATGAAGAGATATAGCCAAATAAAATATGAATGGTGATACAAAGTACATTGAAAAAATCAGGCTCCTTACTAAACATATTTACTTTCTCGCATTTCTCATGCTTCAGTGGAAGATGCACACATATAACACATATACGAAAGACTGATACACCGGAAGATCAGGACTGGCATGTACCTCGAAGTATATATATATATATATATATCACATATTTCGAACTCCAGTTGACTAGTTAGACGCTAAACTATTCGCTGAGATTGTTTCAGCCACATAGTAGCATGAATTGAAAATGTGTAGTGAACGACTTCAAATACTAATTTTTTTATCATAGCGATTTTATGATATCTTGAGTTCAGTGTTCATCGGCTGTTAAAAATAATGATAATATGGTATATTTTAATAGATGGAAAACATTTGGTAGTGCAGGGATTTAAGCAGGCCGTCTTTAAAAGAAACCTAAAAATGTGTTCCATTCGAATTCTCTATCTTAAGGAATGCTGAATCCTTATGGATTTTAATCCACTTCCGTTGGGAAAGGAAATATGGTCTTGTTTTATTCATCTATTTCATTATACTGTCGGTAGTTTGTTAAATAACTATAATTTTCAAACAGGCTGACTTCAATGTCTCTGTGAATTCATCCTCACTATTGTAAATTAATAATAATGATGGCAGTTAAAAAAGCCATTTCAGAGGTTGCCAGGCAGTTAACAGTAGGCATATAAATATTAAATACAGTTGTTGAGTATATTTTAGGTCTTATTCAATAGATTTTGATGAGTTCTTATCATCACAGTATGTGAATATCATTTGTCTTCAAGTGAATATTTGATGTCATAGAAATTACAGTAATTAAAATATCCACTAGTTTCATTTCAAGTAAAAGTAAAAATTGACGTGTGCATACAGATTTTATTTTATGATGAATAAGGTAGTCATCATGGCTGACTGATGACTACATTCCATAACATTACTGCTATAAACAGAACTTCTTAGATTATGAGAAAAATGGAAGTTAAGTGATGTAATGAGGTGATTTATTCACCTGTGACTTCGGCTTACAGTACATGAATAGCACAATCCTACTTATCGAAAATGATTACAATATACAAGGGTTTCAGAAAATCGCAATTGGGTGTCTTGAAGACGTATGAAATTGTTTTCATATTTACACAATATAGTATAATATCTTGTGTAACTAAAGCCTTGCATTCCACTCAGGAATAAAAGGAGTGAATAATAATAACAATTATTATTATTTCGCAATTAACCATTTTGTTCACTCTAGCCATTTGTCGACGATTGGTTTAATAGTTCGAATCACACTCCAGCTATCAACTTTCGACTAGTCAGCTCATATATAACGCTTGAGGCTCATTACCAGTTGCAAGTAAACCCACGTAGTTCTTAAAAGAGATTGCATTTTCTTTTTAAAGACAAAGCTAGTGAACTAACAACCTTACTTCCTTATTAAATTGCATAAGCCCTTTTGGTATGCTTACTGGTGAAATCTATACACACATGAAAGAGGAATGTTTGGTGATCGTTACAGTATACAATATTCACATTATGAGGTAGGTACTGTTATGAACCAACATCATTTAAAGAATCACTGGAAACTAGGAAGCAGTGGGCAGCTGTTTCTCCATAGCCCGAGACTCTTCATCAGTATACACGTGTGACTACATCAAGGATCACACCCAGGAGTTAGAATTGATAGGTCGCTGGATCCCAACCCATTGGGTAAATGGTACACGAGTTGACTTGGTAACGCGAAAGTCCGGAGTTCATTCCCTAGTTTGGTCATCAGTGCTCATTGTTGAAAAGTCCTAAGCTAGGATGAAACATCTATCCGGTGATCTTTGGTTTCCAATGATCCTCTAACTATTGTTAGTTTATAGTGTAATCTATATTGAAATAGTATGCATTGCTGAATGTGCTCAGATATTTTTTATTTGTTTAGAGGACGATTATTCACTTTGTTCTGTGATACATATGTGCTGTAATCGAAAGATATCAGACTGGTAATACTTTGAGTATGTATGAATTCAAAATGTAGCCTGTTTCCTGTCAAAAGGTTGATAGAAAAATTCTTCAAACGACTAAGACAGTTATGGTACTTATTATGTGCAAAAAGCTTCTGTCTAACTTGAAGCCCAATGGTAACTGAAGGTAACTAGGGCAAGACAAGCTATCACTGCGTGAATTCTTTGGCTGTTAATGTGTATATCATTTATGAAGTGAGATTAATGAGTGTGTCAGCGGAAGATAGAATCCTGCACCAAGTGGGTGATTGGCAAACATTCTACCACTGAACCATCGACCCACTGTACTTGTACATGAAATACCAACAACAGTTTCCATTTCATGTCATTTAATATACTTACTATACTGAATCTCTACAAGAAACAGCCAGTATTCAGACCAATGATTAACCACCATATATGAAGACTTTAATTTCACTACAAGCAAATTCTCTTTCAAATAATTCACGAAATGACCGAAATTAATAAATGATTTGAGAAAACAAAATTTTTATACTTTACTCTAACTTCATGCAATGTCAAAACTTCTCAAGATCTTATTAATGAAATAATCTCTTGATAAATTTATTTTCCTTCACGTTCCCCAGTGGAACATAGGGCTTCAAGCTAGTGGCTTGAAGTTTCTGTAGCAGTGTTTATTTTTACAGGATGGGTTGTTAGCCTCATGCCCAACCTTTCCTCTTCACCAGCATTATTTCTGGCTTAGTGAGGTAAAGGGGTGCGTCGGCCGGGGATCGAACCCCGGACCATGTGCATGGTCGGCGAGCGTCCTAACCGCTATGCCGCCGACGCCAATAATTTAATATGTTGATATAAAAGACGAATGAAGATAAAACTGAAAAATTGTTTTCATTAAGGGGAAAATCATACTGAGACTGGTGTGAGTAATACTGAGACAATCTGGTGTCACTCATTCTCTACCGTTATAATTTGTTAATTTTTGTATTCTGCCTATTCTTCTCTCTTACTGTCAATTAATCTTTCTTGGGCTACTTAAGAAAGACTTCGTCATACTGCGAATGGTACTAAAAGCTGACAGTAGAGCAGTTGGGGTGCAGCTAAACCAACTTGTTAATACTGCTGTAGATAGACATATAGACTCGCGTAAAAAATAGTGGATATTATCTTGTCAGACCTTAAGAATCCTCTCTTTACACAACTCTCCCCTTGCATCTCAGCAAGTAGAGCTAAAAGCAAATATAGAAGACCTTAGGCCCGGACGACTCTGTAATACCTTATTTGGCACATATTTTATGTGATAGGAAGTGTAAGGCATGAAAGTGCTAACATACTTAGAAGCACTAATTTAACGGACCTTTTTATTCTTTCTTTAATCTTTAATATTTTCACTTAAATCTAATTTTATATTCATATTCTTATTTAATATTATCAATGTAAATGCCCCGTTTCAATTATTACTACTGTAATGAGAAAATTGGATGCTATGGCGTACTAAATGCTGAAAACTCCATATTTGTATCTAAGGTTCTGTCCAGAATCCACTCGTAACGCGTGATATGCATTAAAGGAACTTAAAAATGTCACGGGATTTTTAATTTCACAGAAGTTCTGTATAATTCTGAAAGTTAATCAATTAGCCTTGGAGTTAGTAAACACTGAGTGACCTGATAACTGAATTTATCCTTATCTTTTTTCTAATTCCCACATATTTTCTCATATGAACATATGGATATTTGAATATTTTTTTAGTTAATGACCAATCTTATAAGAACAACGGATATCGGTAATACTTCTGTGAAGGAATATTATAAACTTGCTTTTAGCCTAATATACTTTGTCCTGGGTATGTACCATTAGTCCGCATACTCCAGGTGTTATCACCAGTCTATTGGCTTAAGTAGTCAACTCGGGAGCAGTGGGTTCCGGGTCCGAATCCCACCCCATCTACTGGAGTAATATTGTAATAGCAGAAGGCAAGACACAGAAGCAAACGTATATTTTTCATTAGTCAATCCGCTGTTTATATATATACAGTTTATATTCTTTAACCAATCACTGAGCATGTGATTTTGGTTTACATTAAACGACATGAAATAGAATGTTCAAATAGATATATCGTATTCTGTTGCTAATGCAGTACTGGACTGTGGGAATAATATTCCGTTGGAAGACATTGTCTGTATCACACCACTACAGTATAATTAGCCCTCGTGCAATAAGTGTAGCTCAGATTCTGATATATGAAAGTTCTGTCCCGGCTAACTGAGTTTAAACAACAACAGTATGATTAATAATAATCCTCATCTTGTAAATGAACTGTAATTGCTGTACATGTTTCACATTCGCTTGAAATTTGTTTATTCGAAGCCTTTTATTTTTCTTTCTATGTACATTCGAGGAGTCATTTATTTCTTACTATGAATCATTTTCGACACATTTCTGCTGTTACCTTCTCCTTGCATCATGGCAGTGCTTTTGACAACATTCAGCTTAGATATCTCACAATTTAATGTTTGTAATTTAGGTTCTGTCCTGTCCTGGTAAGTTTTCTATAAATAGATCTTTTTATTGACCCATCAAGCCGTCGACTAAGCAATATGTCTAGGAGAGATAAACAGTTATCTTCCTCTTCTACAGATGTATGTGATATGCCATTCTGAAATTCATTCATTCGATTTAAAACTGAGGTGACAGAACAAGACTTATCACTGATGATGACAATATCATCTATATACTTTCTATAAAGTGGCACATTTTCGATTAAATCCTCCGATAAACTTTCAATGTTCGCCATATAGATATCTGCTAAAAGGGACCCTAACGACTTTTCATGGCAATACCATCAACTTGGCGGAAACAATGGCCTTCAAATGTAAACCTAACATTGCTAGTACATAGAAGTAATAAATCCCTTAAATAAGATATTGGGAACGGGATGAAAAAATTATGTGTGGAAATGTAATCGTACAAAATGTCAACTGTTTTGAGCAAAGGCACATCGGTGAATAAAGAGTTTACATCAAAAGAATACATATTCTTATTCATAATATTAATATTACTATTGTCAAGAAAATCAACCAATTCAAATGTATCTTTTAACACATACTTACAGAACTGTGTTTTAACTGGATGCAATAATTCTACAAACCATTTAGCAAGTTTATGTGTTGGGGATTTGCACATTGACAATATAGGACGTAGAGGATTATTGGGTTTATGTACCTTTGGCAAGCCATACATATGCGGTAATTTACAATCTGATGGTTTTAATGAGTCAAATTTTTCTTTACTTATAGCATTTAGGCCTTGAAGCTTCAGTAGATTAGCTGTCACTGTGTCTTGCAACAACTGGATATCTTCTGAGGAGGGATCACGGCTAAATTTGCTTTTATCATCAAGAATAAACATCATTTTAGATTTATAGTCACTTTTATTCATAATAACGACTCCAGAACCTTTATCAGGTTTCGTAATAATTATATTAGAATTTTCCCGTAGCTCTTTCAAGGCTTTGAAATGCTGGGAACTTAAAATGCTTTTCTCCTTTGGGCTGTTGTTTAAAAACTGATGAGCTATATCCACCATCCTGGCCTTAAACCAACCCCGATCTTCATCAGATGTTGCGGCAAGAGGTTTGAGTTGGTCATAAAAGTTTTCAAACTCAGCATGTATGGCCAAATCCGTAAATTGCATGCGAGGAACACAAAATTTGAGTCCAAGGGATAAAGTTTCTTTCTGATGAGTAGATAGAGTAATATCAGAAAGATCTGTAACATACTTATCAGGATTCACCGGAAAGACATCTACGCGGTCTCGATCATCAGTTGGACTCTTCAACTTATTTTGTATATTCGTCTTAGTTTTCTGAGTAACGTCTTTACAAAACTGAGGAAATTTCATGTGGCATATTGTTGATAATTCAGATAAAATAAGTGACGCATTGGTATGAAGAACAAGTAATCCTTGTAACGTTTGTTTAACATTTTCGATATGTGACTTTGTAAGACGAACAAGATTAGAGATATCTGGTTGTAATTTACTGAATTTCAAAGTTTTATAAAATTGCCTCGGGGAAGGAATGATTTTTAATACATAATTCATAAAATTCCAACGTGTTACGTTCGACGATAATTTTACACCTAAGGTTAACAAGTTCATTTGACCTTTTGATAGTGTGTGGAGGGAGTCTTCTCTTTGAAAATTTAAAACAATTAGTCCCCTTTATGAATTTAGATAAAGCAATAAGAAGACGTAATTTGTCTGTAATTTAACCTTAAGGTTAATTTTCATATTTAGTCATTTAATTTATGATTGGTGAATCGGTGGTTCAATGGCAGAATGTTCGCCAATCATGCAGGTGGTCCGGGGTTCGATTCCAGGCTAACGTACTCCTAAACTTTGCCCAGCTAACTGGCTAATAGTAAGTCTGGGAAAGTAGGAAAACAGGCTAGCGATCCCACCTAGTAGAAGGAAAACACCACATCTACTGCAACTTGAAGCCTGACGCTGTATGTTCCATTTAGAACTCAGAAGAATGATATGAAATTTGTATTCATTATTTTTATATGTAATACAAAGTACCGTATTTCAGAAAAATTCTGTGCTCTGGATTTTATGCGTAATCTAAGCGTCTGGTTTATTTGATCGAAGGCTCAACTGTTAATTATCGTTCCAGATTTCTTGGAAGTAATCTACATGAATGCAAATTTACCCTCTACACTGTAGCACTTTGTTCTTATGCCAAACTAACTTTATAATTCAGATCAATAGTAACAGTAATCTGTTTACACAATATCAAGTTGTTGATTGTCTGACACAGTAGACCTCAGACTTTTATTGCGTTTCTGTACAATAACTGATAATGATATTCTTTATCTCTTTTTACCTACTAGAATCACTAGATCCACAAACAAATCTGGAGAAATGTAAACAAGATCCAGAGTGCAGTAAACAATACGTTGAATGTGCTCATGCCAAATTAAACGAATGCAATGACGAGATGAGTAAAGAAGTTAAGAAACAACTACAATCTTTTGGTAAAATAAATTAATTTTGTGTACATTAATGTTTAAAAAAAACACAAACAATCTAATACTAACTGACAAGACAGTAGAATTTACTAGTGTTTTAAATATTGTATGAAAAAAAGACTTATTTATTCCTATCTTTATGATAAATTCACTGTAGAATAAATAACAGTATTAGTTTAAAGCCCTTAAAAAGAATGCTTTAATTACCCTTTTCGTCTACAGTACAATTAAACCAAATACATCAGTGAAGTGATAGTTCGTTTAAAAAAATATGATCTCTGGATTTGTTAGATAACCTCAAGTATTACCAGTGCTCACAAGTCATTACTAGTTAAATGGATCCTCCGCCTACAGTAGTTGATACTTTCTCCAAAATGTAGGCTTAGAGAATATAAGAAACCTTACAAGTAACTACTGTCCCATGTATAAAACGTTATCATCATGATGAAGTAAATAGTGTATCAGCTCACTTTCTTGTCTGACTGAGATTCAGTACAGAGCTTTGCACTGAAGTGTAGCAGTTCAAGTTGCCACACCCCATTTAGCTCACAAAAGTAGGGAAGAAAGAAATTCAAAAGAACCATAATGAGCAGAAATGTACCGGAGAAAGAATAGTAACAGAGTAAAGCATGAGGACCTACCACATCTCGAAGATTACAAAAAGTGAATGCATTTGATCCACTGAGAACAATTTTAACCATGTCACTGACAACCTCTGTGTATTCGTTCTTATCATCCCAATGACGCAAACCAGGAGGCCAACACCTCTCCACGTGGTTTGGCCACACCTAACTAGTTTCCAAATTAATCTTATTTCAGTTAATATCGCTCGAGGAAGAAGGCGATAGTTTGTCATGCGTTACATATGCCCTAGCCAACTCAATCGATGTAGCCTCACAACCTCATCGATGAACTAGAACTCCTTGCCTAACAGTCTACGTTTAACCTCAGTATTATTCACTACATTATTTCACTTAACATGAGAGACAGAACAAAGCATCTACCTCAAAACCATAAAGAAGGACAGCGGGAACTGCTGTGCATTACTCACATCCATTGATCAATAATCGGATGGCACTACACCAGAGATGACGTTTTTTGGTAAATGGCACACGTGACTTTTGTATGGTTGTTGGGATTCCGTCAGCAATCAGTCAGTTAGATATGATGCAACTTTCTTGTGCTTCTGAAGATGAGTATCGGAAATGATTTCCAGTGTGGATGCAAACATATAAAGATGTGAGGGCTCAGGTTGTTGTGGTTTTTATTAAAGAAGAAAGGCTACAGGTCTAAGCAGATGTTCAAAATCCTGAGGATAAAAAGCAAAACAGTCTGGTTCGTTGTGACCAGTTTCGTTTTATATTAACTGAAATCTGCAGTCACTAATTTTCCCTTGAGAAGTACACTTCTTTATGTAGCTCAGAGAAGCATTCAAAGACTTCATACACTAGTATCATTTTGCTTGGGCTGATACTGTATCAGTAGAAAGCTGTATGACATGACTGAAATCCCCACTCACTGTTAGCAGGCGCATGTCCACACGGCCCACTGAAATACCTTTACCAGTAGAATTGTACACATCTGCATTCTAGCTACCCGGGGCTCAACTAAACACGAGTTATTCTATGGGTAACATTTATAACCAAGCAGATGACTTTCTCCTAGCTATTATTTTCCATGCAAAAACAATAGTTCATCAGGAAGCGTTACACCCACAACGATAAGTAAATTTAGGGGTATATACTTTATGTTGCATTAGTGGCCATCTGGTCCTCTGAAATGTTATTAGGCAACACAAATGGGTTGCCAGAACTGCTGTCTATTTCCCAATGTATCGACTAATATCTTTTAGTCAAATCTGTGTGCTAACTACGACGGAACTACTGAACACTGCGACACTTTCATTTCTGATGTCAGAAGTCAACTGACCAGAACTCAATCACGCGGAACATCTTGAGAACTACACTTATTGTGTGATGGTTGATGATACCTTCCAGTTACGCAGATTGCACTGGGTTCTTAAGCTAATCTAGTGGTAATGCTCATGATTAAGGAAATCAGTGATAGCGTTCCAATCTCAGAGAAGGCGTGAATCTACTCAAAGTAACACAAACGCCCTGAGGAGTGTTAACAATCCCAAGATCTACTCTTAGAGATTTCCGTAGATTAAATAATACCACCTAAAGTCATGAGATCAAACTGAATAGATAGAAGAACTAATTCAGTTGACCTTAATCAGAAGACAAATTTGCTCGGTGAGCTGAAATGAAATGGCCCATCTACAGAGGCCTAGAAATTGTTTGTATTTCCTACAGAACAACATTTAAATGGTGAATGTCCTCGAAGGTTTATCGATAGAAGCGTAGAGAAACAAATCGTAGTGTCAAAGAATTCGTGTTTCAAAGCATATATCATGACGGCAGTATTAAAAAGATGTCTATATGAGTACGTCAAAATCACTTCCTACGACGGTAACTTAAGCGTAATGAACTTGAAACAAAATATGCTGCAGCAATGTGTGAGGGATAAAATATCCCTTATATTTACAACTATTATTCACAATGCTCCCATGGATCTAGTTACGTTCGAGGTTGTGAGTTCTACAGAAACGTGTAATGGGACATTATTTGGTCTGGTCGATGAGAGATTAGTGCGGGACAACAGAATAATCCTATTCGAGAACAACTTTTGAAACCAGGTCACTCAATCTTCGACGATTTACGCTCTAGTGTTACCTACAGCACTTTACTTAAAACACTCACATAACCACATAGACACACCAATCTTTCGACTGCTTGAAATGGTCTAGATTAGAGAATAAGTGCCGACATAGGTTCCTGCCAGAATTCGGACAGTGCAAAGCACACATCATACTTGCAGAGGTAGAGTTAAAATCGATTACTTCAAAAGTCTACGTCTGCATATTAAGAAACACGTAATCTGCTTTGTTACTCTACATCAGTTAAATCGAACAAAATACATTATTCCTAACACGAATTTGCAATCGGTTTTATTGTCTCAATGTAACAAGATAAACAAGTTATTGATAGTAATATTTACAAACTCAACAATACTCCTTCAAATTTACAATCACAATAAGATGTAAAAGGAAAATGATGCATATATATATATATATATGTATATATATATATATATATATATATATATATATCAAATAATCGTGATTTCAAGTTACATTTTCGAATGAGTAAATTCTGTCATTTTACTTCATTATCCTGTAACAACCTCAAGTTCAGTTCCGTCGGATAATCTTCGTAAATCTGCTTCACAGCGAACAATTGTGTTCGGCAATTTACGAACTTTTTTAATTTCATCAGGCCTGATATTTAATTCCTTAGAAATTATTTGAAGAAAATAAGGATAATCGCATGTTTTGGTAGGAGCTTCAAATTCATAGAAATCTTTTTCCTCCGACTGTGCTAATCTAACCTTAATATTGAAAGAAATAAAAACAAAAATTAGAATATTTGTCAACCTGCATACATTTACGTGAATAAAAGAACACACTGAGAAAACCTTTGCATAGCATTATGTCATAGGTGAAAACCAGTGACAAAGACAGATTTTGGTGGACTGTGTTGGTGATGCAATGGTAAAATGCCCATCAGCCATGAGCGAGGTTTGGGTTCGATTCCCGAGTGACCCACTTTTAAATCTCCACTAGCCGGTGGTAAGCGCTTAAAAGATTAAGGGTTGGACATAAGGCTAGCAACTCCAACCATTAAATAACAGCGGTGATGCTACTAAAACTTCAAAGCTTCAGGCTTAACGCTCTGTGTTCTAATTAGAACACAAGGAATGAAAGAAACGCATTTAAACGGCTGGTAGTACTGTTGAAAGACTGATGTCTGGGAAAGCTTGGTTCCACAAACAACAAATTTAGTCACAGCATTATTTAACTGGGGAAAATTTATTATAGCAACAAACAAGAATTTAACAGTACGTTTCTGAAACAAGAACTTGTGAAAATTATCTAGACAAAGAGGTTAAGCCATAAATGGCACACATTCTAAGAAGCTGAGTTTGTATGAAGCCTTCTTCCATCATGATTAGTATCTGTCTAGTGACATTAAAAATGTCGCCTGCCAGCATATTCTTCTTCAGAAATTAACAAATTCCAGGTTAGCTGTTGTAAAACGCTTCCCCTTCATTAATGCTTCACAAGAATTACCAGTGTTTAATCATTTCTATCAACAGGACTATTCATTATTTTAGTGCCTCTTTAGTCTGAATAATAATTTGCTGTAGTTCATGTAGGCAGTTTCAAGTCAATAGAGTATTTAGCTGATAAACATTAGTAGATTTCAATTCTTTAAGTCCTGATTTTCTCATATCCGTTGCTCACTTTAAAGGAAAACTCGTCAGGTACTTCCCAACTTGCGCCACCTTAAGTGCAAGTCGAAAATTCGGCTGCCCATCAGAGAACATGTGTACTGTACTCTGTCCTACTTTACACATGTGCAAATATACGGAAAGACTACAGTTGCTGCTGTTTTATAGATCACATCAAGCAGAGCAAAAGGTCTAGGTTAAGAGGATAAGTCGATGAACAAAGTTATGTTCGAATCCCGCTCCACCTACTAACTTGTGAGCAGCTAAATAGATAGTCCTAGCCATCACACAGGTGTGTCTTATTACTAACTACATGCAAGTGCCATTGGTTGAAGATAGCTCAAAACGTACATTTGAAATACAACTTAGTCACGTGTGAAACACCCGACCGAAAGCTGCTACACCCGACCGAAAGCTGCTACCTTGACGTGGTGGTCGGGCTTGAACACCGCAATGACCCAACAAGCTATACTGGCTGGAACTTATGTTCCTGCAGGTCTTACCATGCCAGAAAGGTTGTTTGGATAGCGGTTAGACTAAAAGCAGTTACCCAATCCAATCCTATGACTTCAAACAAATCACAAAATATCATGCCGGATCGGTCGGGGCCCGGATTAACAACGACCGCGCTTTCTGCTGCCGTGTCACAGGGCAGAAGTGATAAATACGCTACTGAGACACACCAGATAAAAAAGAACAAACAAAAACAGGCCGTGTGTGACCGGCCTCAAGCAGTTGTCCCCTGGGCTCTGCGGTCACGCAACCAACTTCCACGGTGTGGGCAGCCGGGAAGTAACAATCGCCCTCACAACCCGAAGAGCACGCGAAACCTCTCTATTCCTCACTCACCTTTGTCTTCATCTTCATCTCTATTATCTTACCTTCCTTCTACTAATGCAACTCCTCTACTTAATGGCCCTTCACTTCCTCTTCACTCTGTGTGCACTGATAACGACGGAAGCCAAAAAGCCACCATCGATAGTCTCCTAAAGCCACGTCACCAATTTCATATAGGGGCATTTAATGTTAGGACACTTTACCAAATAGGACAACAGGCATCACTAGCCAAGACTCTGGCATCCCGAGCCATTGATGTATGTTGTGTTTCAGAAACACGCATACAGGACCCAAGTGTGGTTATTCACCTAACCCCACCTGGCCAAAAGGATGAATCTGCAAAATTCACCTTGAGGGTGTCAGGGGATGCGACGGCTAGCTCACGAGGATTAGCTGGTGTTGGGATAGCTTTAAGTACTAGGGCAGAAAAGACATTACTTGACTGGATCCCGGTAGATAGCCGAATGTGTGCTGTCCGCCTGAACGGATCAGTGAAAAGGAGAAAGGACTGCACTACTCGCCGATGCCTTTTCGTAATCTCCGCCTACGCCCCCACTGACTGCAGTTCGGATGAAACGAAGGATGAGTTCTACCAAAAGCTGTCTAGTTTGCTGCGAAAGGCTAAACGCTCAGATATAGTCGTTTTAGCTGGTGACTTTAATGCTCAAGTGGGGAAACTGTGTCAATCTGAGAAGAATGTCGGTGGCACATACGGAATTCCGTGCCAGCGAACCGACAACGGTGACCGTCTCCTACAGTTCTGTTCAGATAATCACTTGTTTCTTGTAAGCACTAACTTCAAACACAAGGAGAGACACTGTCTTACCTGGCGACCTCCATCATCAAACCAACGCTGGACACAAATAGACCACATAGCAATAAGCTATCGTTGGCGTGGGTCGGTAGGGGATTGTCGCTCCTTCTGGAACACGTGTGTAGATACCGATCACGCACTGGTCCGCGCTCGTGTGTGCTTACGACTGAACGGACGTAGGAAACAGCTGGCGGTAAACCCATCACGTCCTCAGCTCGATCAGGAAACTAAGTCCCTATTTGAGGAAGAACTAGCTAAACACATATCTGAGTTTGACAGCTGCGCTCATCCTGAAGAAGCCTGGAAAAATATTCAGTCAGCCATAGATACAGCTGTAAAAGCTGTGAATAAGGTAAATCCAAAGGTGAGTAAAAACCATTGGATTTCGACTGCCTCATCCGAACTGATAGATGCTAGAAGACTTATTCCGGCGAGCTCCGAATTCAATGAGGAGCGAAAGCTGCACAAGAGGAAACTTACGAAAAGTCTCCGCAAGGACCGTGAACAGTGGTGGTTGGCAAAGGCGAAAGAGATGGAAAAAGCATCGGCGATAGGCAACACTAGGCAACTCTTTAGACTCATCAGGGAAACGGGTGGGAGAACGCAAATCATAAGTGAGACTATTTGTGAGAAAAATGGCTCCTTAATTAGCTCTCAGGATAGACGCATCGAACGCTGGAAAGAACACTTCGACGAACAGTTTAACTTGCCTACAGACACACTGAGCCTCCCCGCCATCCAGCACACACCCGAATGGGACATAGACACTGACCCGCCGTCTGTAAGTGAGGTCACAAAAGCTATCTGTAAGTTGAAACGAGGCAAAGCGGCAGGACCCGACGGAATTATTCCGGAGGTGTTTAAATATGGGGGTGACATGCTAGTATATAGTTTAACTAAGGTACTAGGTAACGTCTGGGAATCAGAGACGGTTCCATCAGACTGGGGTAAGTCACTTATCATACCAGTATTCAAGAAGGGAGACAGGTCCACATGTGATAATCATAGAGGAATCAGCCTAACGAACATAGTCTCTAAAATCCTAGGCTCAGTAATCATGAACAGACTAAGCCGAACTAGGGAGGAACAAACGAGGGAAAATCAAGCGGGCTTTAGGCCAGGTAGAGGGTGCATAGATCATATCTTCACTCTCTGACAGATCCTAGAACATAGGCACACTTTTAGGCGTCCAACAATTGCCATATTTCTTGACTTGAAGGCGGCCTTCGACTCCGTGGATCGAGAGGTTCTATGGCAATGTTTGACTATGAAGGGAGTGCCAAGAAAGTACATTGCACTAATCAAGGCACTCTACTCAAACTCACGTAGCTGTGTAAGGGCTTATGGGGAATTGTCATCTGAATTGATAACAACCAGTGGTGTCCGTCAGGGATGTCCACTTTCCCCTTTTCTGTTTAACTTCATCATAGATATGCTAATGGAAGTATCCTTAACCGAACGTAACGACTTAGGAATCGACTTGTTACCAGGAAATAATCTTATAGACTTAGAATACGCAGACGACATAGTCCTGTTAGGGGAGGACGCTGACAAAATGCAGAGTCTTCTGAACACCTTGAGCAGCAATCTTCGTATGTTTGGCATGCGATTCGCCCCTGTGAAATGTAAGATGCTGCTACAGGACTGGATTACGTCAACTCCTAGCTTAGTGATAGGGAGTGAAGTGATAGAACATGTTGACCACTTCACCTATTTGGGAAGTTGTATCAGCACCAACGGATTGATTGGTGACGAAATCACAGCACGGATCCAGAAAGCTAGGGCTGCTTTCGCTAACTTACACCGTCTCTGGCGTAGGCGTGACATCCGACTGTCAACCAAGGGACGTGTATACTGCTCAGCAGTTCGCTCCGTCCTTCTCTATGGCGGTGAGACGTGGCCATTGAGAGCGGAAGACATGAAGAGATTGTCTGTTTTTGACCACAGATGTTTACGATCTCTTTCTCGCGTTAGGTGGTATAATAAGGTAAGTAATGTTGACGTTAGGCGTAGAGTGTTGGGCAAAGAGGGAAAATCACTCGAAGAGGCTATGAAGTTACATAGATTGAGATGGTTAGGCCACGTGCTGCGCATGCCTAACCATCGTCTCCCCCGACGGGCATTACTAGCTGATATAGGTTCAGGTTGGAAAAGAGTAAGTGGTGGCCAAACAAAAACATGGCATCAGTCCATGAAATCCTTGACAGTTAAACTGAGTCAGGTAGGGAGATGCAGACTTCCGGGTTGGGGCCCTCGGGACTCTAAGAATCAATGGCTGGAGACAATAGGTGACATGGCTCAAAATCGTTGTCAATGGCGCAGATGTATTCAGTCTCTTTAACCTTCATACTCCTTTCTACCATTACTCATTCTGTTTCACTCTTATACTTGTCAAAACTCTATTGATTCTCTTCATCGCTCATTTTCTTGTCTACCTTTGTGTGCTATTTGGAACGTGGCAACTGGAACTGCTGCACTTCGGTGCCAAGTTCTATGTTGAATCCAGACAGACAGACAGAGACGTGTGAAACACTGAGATGAGCTGAAACAAGACCTAAAACCTTGTCAAGTTTCTTATATAATACTGTTTAAAATGGAGAATTAACATTATAGTGCTTATTTTAAGAGTTTTACATAATGTGACACCCTCAATGGAAGAAAATAAATTCCCTCTCAGTAATCTAGTCGTTTCTTTTCATGTGCAACTTAAAAGTAACTCTCCACCCTCACTTATTTACAATTAGCGGAACACAAGAAAGTGAAAATTTTTATGGTACATATTCCTCAACAATAAAACAATGAAACTCTATATCTGCTATCCTTCTCCATCACAGTTACATCTAAAGGGGAAGAATACGATTTTACTAATTCTTCAGAATAAGACTCAACTACTGGGTATTATGGTACAGCTTAGAGCTGTAACCTTAGGCCAGACATAGGATTTTATCAGACTACCTGGTATCCACACAGCATTGGATATGATAACCTCAGACGATACAGACCCAATTTACACATCTTTGCAGTAACCGACATTAAAGATACTCACTTTTATAATGGTTTCAGTGGGACAATCAGCTTTCACAGGTTGATAACTTTCAGTGGCTTTGATGTAGGGAAATGAGGGGCATTTCAAATAATTTGGAACGAATGTACTCTGTACTGTTTCATCTTTAGAAACTTTAATAAAAAATTAGGAAACTACTTACGCATTTCATGCGGCTTTTTTCCGTCATTCCTTCTAACATCCGGATCAGCACCCTTTAGTAACAAATAGTCAATAATAGACTGATGTTTTCTCGTGTATGCCCAATGAAGTGGTGTCATACCATTTACCTTATTTTGGTGATTGATATTGGCCTTTGGAAAATTAAATTTAGTTATTAGAGAAACGAATTACCCTACACCAAGATTTACTAGATTTACAACTTCTTCAAGAACTCCAACGCTGCAAGCTTCGTTTAATTTCTCACCTAGCTCAGACGGGTTTGTCATCATGAAAAATAACTGGGAAAATGTAGTTCTGAAAAAAAGATCAAAAAACATTAGTCAAGGATTAAACTTTAATGGCAATTGACTTGGTTAATTAGTTGTTAGAAACACCCTTATACAGTAGCAATTAAAAAGACATCACCACATCAGAATGTCGTCTTTATGCAGACATTTGAAACCATGTTTAAATATTATTCGTGGCGTGAGACATACAAGTATAACTTCGGCTTTTAATTCAGGAATCGGCCCAAATTTATTACACCAAACAAAATAAAACAAAAGAACCTATGAAACTGATGTGATGAGAATGTGAAACAAATGTAAACCACTAGTTTGTTTCCAAACTAATTTCAAGGTATTACAGAACGTGCTAACTCTGCAGGTGAAACATGACTCATCCACCGATGCCAGTGCATAAATACTGCCATATCAGTGAATTGATTTACCTTGTTCACAATCATAAGCATATTTTAATATAAATAAAAAAATGAGGGTTCAATTGAACCCTATATTATTATTGCGTCCTAGGACAGCTGTCCACTTGGAATCAACAATTTTCATGTACAGATGTATTAAAAACGCTTTGCCTGAGTTTTAATGATATATGTTGTGACATTTACAGCAATAAGCAGGTTCCTAAATTGGAAAAACGGACGTAATGATATTAATCAAACAACCAGATGAGCCCAAGCGAAATACGCATAATAGTGATTGCACTCCAATTAATTTATCACAGCACTAACCAAAGGTGGATTTTAGTTTATTTCCATCTGGTAAACACACTTACGTCAACTGAATTGTTCACATACACACATCACAACGTAACGGCACAGTTGAAATCCGAACCCACACAATTCAATACCCAATGCTTCGAAACTATGCCTAAACTTGACTCATTCTAACTCGAACCAACTGTTATATCCTTCTTATTAGGTTCACTTGAGACTAACCTTTCCTGACCATAAAACTTAATTAAATCCTTCGCAAACTTAAATTAAACTTACTGGACATTCCGTTTAATGTCATAACGAGTCATTAGGCATATTTTATTCATTCCCAAGGTTAGCCTAAAACGGAAGATATCACAGTTGGTTCAAGTTAGATTTGGGAATGTTTTGAGGTAGGGCAGATTGAATTCAGGCCTATGATTAAAAGAAGTGATACATACACAGTATGTGGATTAGTTAGTCTGTTGACATTCCAGTGGAAAACTGGCGAATATTTTGTCACACTCTAGACAGAAGTTTCCAGCGTGAAAGTTTTAAGCTATTTTATTCCTTATTTCCATGAATGCATGTACTTTATACAACAAAGTCCGAACACACACAATTCAATACCCAATATCCATCTTGCAAGCTAGTGTGTGCCCATTTAATTTTTTAGGCTGGTTTATTGATTTTAAGGTAAGAGTTCTTGGGCGAACACGAACTTCAAGCACCAAAGGAGCTTGGCGTACTGATAATAATAATATAATAATTTACTTTATTCCAAAAACGGTACTTATAATACAGAATGGAATTCTCAGCATTTGTCACAATATTGCATCTGATTTACTCAAAGTGTATATAAAATTAAAAATTAAAACAAAAATTAATCGGAGGAATTTGTCCACATTAACGACATAATTATTAGATATAATATTAATAAATACTAATAACAGTGAGTTTGTTTCAAACGGTATTGTCGATTCAGTTTGGAAACTTTAGCATGTTATGGATAATTGGGTCTAATGTTCTGTTGATATGGTATAGTGAGGTCAAATACAAAGTTAACAGTCATAATAAAGCTTAAAATTATGTCCACAGTTATGAAAAATAAAATAAACAAAACGAAAAAATTGAGAGGATTATAAATATAAGAAATACAATAACAATAAAGTATGATGCTTTAAGGTTGAAGGAAATGGTCTATTTAGTGGTGCTAAGAAGGTTAGTTAGTTCATTTCTGACACTATTTTCATCACATAGAGTACGTGCTAAATATGGTATAGCTGAATTTTTATACTTAGACGTATTTGCATAAAGTCTTCTGAAAAGACTTCTTGTTTTACCTGAGGAGACACAAGGTTGGAGCTGCGGGTAGAGTGGGTGCTCAGAGTCTGACAAAATTACTCTAGCGAATCTGTTGCATGACATCAAATGCTTATCGGTGACAATGTCAACGATATGGCGCAATGGGATACCACTAGTCCTACTGACAGTCTTAAGAGTTCTACGAAGTATGACATAGTCCTTTTTTAGCAATCCAGGAAGGAATAATGGTGAACAGTAAAGAAGATTAGGTAAAATACACGAGTTGACAAACTGTAAGGGGAGTGTAAGTGGAGCTCTGAAAGTACCAATCGACTCGGAAGAGCAGACTTTGTTGTATAAAGTACATGCATTCATGGAAATAAGGAATAAAATAGCTTAAAACTTTCACGCTGGAAACTTCTGTCTAGAGTGTGACAAAATATTCGCCAGTTTTCCACTGGAATGTCAACAGACTAACTAATCCACATACTGTGTATGTATCACTTCTTTTAATCATAGGCCTGAATTCAATCTGCCCTACCTCAAAACATTCCCAAATCTAACTTGAACCAACTGTGATATCTTCCGTTTTAGGCTAACCTTGGGAATGAATAAAATATGCCTAATGACTCGTTATGACATTAAACGGAATGTCCAGTAAGTTTAATTTAAGTTTGCGAAGGATTTAATTAAGTTTTATGGTCAGGAAAGGTTAGTCTCAAGTGAACCTAATGAGAAGGATATAACAGTTGGTTCGAGTTAGAATGAGTCAAGTTTAGGCATAGTTTCGAAGCATTGGGTATTGAATTGTGTGGGTTCGGATTTCAACTGTGCCGTTACGTTGTGATGTGTGTATGTGAACAATTCAGTTGACGTAAGTGTGTTTACCAGATGGAAATAAACTAAAATCCACCTTTGGTTAGTGCTGTGATAAATTAATTGGAGTGCAATCACTATTATGCGTATTTCGCTTGGGCTCATCTGGTTGTTTGATTAATATCATTACGTCCGTTTACTTCCCAAGCTTACAATAATGCTGAATTAAATCTCAGTAATTCTGAAATAATTCTTGCATCCTATAGTGAGTAAATTCTGTATCTGTTCTGGCATGATTTGTTTAATGGCACAGACTTGAACTCAGTGCTGGTTTTCAGCATGACTAGAACTAATTCAGCACCGTGTTCTTTTTCTAGGCATTTTTAGGAGTAGATGAGAACATACTGGGATGGCTTGTCAGCGTTGTTCCAGCCATTACAGGACATATTAAGCACTGACTAGCATTACTTCAGAACGAAAAGACCTAATGCAGCACATAGTGGCAATTTTTTCAGCTTAATTCTAGCCTTCTCAGCACATATTCAGCACTGACTAGCATTACTTCAGAACGAAAAGACTGCTACTTATTATCATCACCTGTGTCCTACGCCGGCGCAATTCATTCAGTTTACAGAAGGAAATCAGTTTTTATAATTGAGAGAATTTTGTATTTAATAAACTGTAGTACATTGTCACTGCAAATCCGTCAAGTGAGATCCACTGGTAGCATCCTGTAAATAAGCAAAATATAAGATTAGTTGATGAAAAATAGTGCTCAGCACATTGTAAGAATTTACATTTATAAAGGTTTACTTACATAACTGCCACTGTTATATCCTCTGGTATCTTTTTCATTTGCCTACAAATGAAAACAATGTTGTCATTACTATATGTTCAATAAACGTTGACTTATAAAAATAAGCAGGCGTTTCGCAATTTTACCTGAATTCCTTTCTTCAGCTTACGCCTTTAGACACGATCTTTCAAATTGTGAAAGTACGATTTCGTGGCCTTATCCATCATGTCACCAACCTCTCTCGACGTCATTAGTTGGCCGGAGAATTCCGCCATAATTACATCTAAAGAACTAAGTACTTTATAAATGAACCTTACATCTCATTATTTTATAAAAGGTATAAGGCACAATGCTGGACTTTGTCAAAGTCCCCTGAAATGTAAACTTCAAAGCCACTTCAGGTTTTAGAACATGGTGCATCATGACCTTAAGTGATAACTTTGGATCACTCTGAAGGCAGCTAACCATCTTAGCAGTCTACAAGAAATAAGAATTAAATATGTCAACTCACATATTGCTGTTTGTACTTTTCGTCTCTTAAAGATGCTTCCAGCATCTCTAAGTTGTCTTCATTCTCGATCGGAAACTGCAGTGTGAAGTCATCGTTTGCTGGAAGGGAGGTTTGTTGTCGAGATTTTCTGTCAGTAGTCATAATGTTCAACATTTTCGTGCACAGGTTAATGATTTCCATATTTGTATCTTTAAATAGATAATTATTTTTAAGTAATTACCGAGTATTTTCTGAATTTTGGAATCAGTGGTATCTTCGTTAGACGGCAGTCTAAAGCTCGAATAAAAATTGTAACAATTATTCCTACCGGTCAGATACAGTCGTGTTTTTGCCAATAGGAGAGGAAGTATGGATTATGGGAGCACTGGAAGTACTGAAAATGAATGGCTTTCAATTACGTAAATACCTTGGAATTTGGGCTATGAAGTCATCAAATATATTGTAATCTGGATATTGTGGTTTGATGCAACCAACTTCACTGGCGGCTACATCAATATCCATTGAGTTGTAAAGGAAATTCTTCTCTAATTTCTTGGCATCCCTGAAAAATACGTTAGACCGTAAACGGTACCTACCTTTTTGGTCTCTTACTAGGCATTGGCAACGTATCATCATCCATGTCTGCCTTCTTGGAGCCTTGATCATTGCTTCTCAAAAGCTCTACACACTTTTTACAATTCTCATAAGTATCTAGAAGGGTGATAATGAAATATGCCAACTTACCAAATTCCAGTAGTTGACGGAAATGAAACACTGACCATCCAGTCCCGGTACACATAGGCTCTAGATGGTTTGCTGTGCTGCTGTACGCACATAAACCACTTCGCACAACCCAGGTGTTCGGGATGGCGACTACAGTGTCATCTTCTAGCGAACGGACGACGAGATATCTGATTGGTGTAGAATTCTGCAAAAGGATATGTAATGAAGTGGAAATACGACTGTTACTTTATCTGTATCAGGTTGCTTAAAATGAATAACAGCATGGATATACCTATATCTCAAAAACTTGGAATAAACTGTCAAATGAACTTCAGTTTGACCAACAACATTAACCAGTTAAAGGTAGATGTTCGGACTTGACAACAAATAGATGTCACAAAAAAACTTAGACGAATTACATATCAACAGTTCAAGCAAAAAATTACGGCACAGTACCTTCAATTAAAAGTATGAAGCAGGGGGATGACTACTTCGTCATTAGTTGTTGGAACAGTCATGCACTTGCAGACAATATTCACATAGGATATCCAGTGTGTTTCGTGACTGAATTTCGAACATCTAAATATCCCTAAATTCCTTGACTTAAACGGTGTCGTAAAATGATCACTATAATCACTGTAGGGTCGAAAACGTATCCTATCTTCACTTTCCATTTCAACTATATTCCCTGGTTTACCTAAGGCTAAGATGACGTTGTCCGGAGAATAAGATGTGAATATGGTATTCAGATACGTCAGCTTTCCCTTGCTGAATTCAATACACCTATTACCAGCTTCTTTAGGTACATGCTTCACACCTGTACTTTTCATTAAGTACACGTGTTCAACATAGCGCTGAGCTGCCTGCTTAGCCACAGTGTAACCACAGTGCACGGACTGCCTTATCTTGCGCATATAGGATTCGAAGGGAAATGCGCTGAATTCTTCTAGTGGCCCATGCAGCTCAACGTCATCCGCTATATGTTTTAGAGAATGTATATTGTAAACAATATGTTCATTTCCGAAACAATTCTCATATTGCAGTAAGAAATTACTCAAATCTGTCCGAGCAGCATCCAAAAACAGTCGGCTGTATTTGGTACTCGAAAGTAAGTATACTGCCAGGGATAATCTCCTGAAATTAGCGTGCAGGACAGAGTGTTCCTGAGTAGGACAGGACCCAAATATAGTAGGTAAATTCTACACTCAGTTGCTTTCCATTGGCTAAGGTCATCTAAGGACCGACATTTCCTCTGAAAATCAGAAGGAATGTGTTTTCTACTTCCTTGCAGTCCGTTATTAATATCTGCAATAATCTTACTATCCATCTGCTTCTCTCGCCGTGCTGCAAGATCCAGCCAAAGGAACACCAACTTCTTAACAACACCAAGGTATATTAGATGCATTGGCTCCAAGGGAAATGACTTTACCATGTCAAGTGGCAATTCCTCAAGGCAGCTTCTGCCCCGATGGTGACTTACTTGAACTTGACCACGGAATGTTCTATCATTTCTAAGTGTCTGGTTCCCATTAGGAAATGTCATCCTACCCTCCAAACGACAACCTACAACTTCACATTTATCACAACCTGTTTTTCTATTGTGACCGACGGTTTGTTTTATATTAGAACGAGCAGGCGTGTCACATATAAATGCTAGAACACTGACAGTCACACTCTTACCCCACTTCTCAACATATAGACCGTTTTTATAAAGATCTTTCAATTCAACTAATAGGTCCATAGAAACCTCATTGAAGTTGTTCGGTTTTCTCAAACCGCCATGTATACCAATTAAGAAAACGTCACTGACGTATGGAGTTGTGATACGACCTAGGAATGGCCATAATTGCTGCTAAGAACTGTTCGATACAGATAAACCGTCATAGTTGATTTGCAAGCCAACATGTTGAAAAGTACCGTAGTCAACCCAACTATCTAGATAACGCTGCAGATTTTCCTTCAGTCCAGTGTGATAGTAAACACCTTGCCGCTATCTTTTAGCAAGCCTCGTATGGTTGTTGGTACATGTAGACTAAATTTACGCATACAGTCCAAGATATCTTGCGCAAGAACCCCTGTTACATTGTTCCTAAGTAACAATTCCATAATTGATTTTCTGACCAGCTCTTTTTGTGTCATCTTTTCAGGAACAATCTGAAGTTCTATTAAAACTAATTAATACATAATAATAAATGTTACGGTTCTCTTCAATTTGTGAAACTACAGCGACGGTCTCACTAGTACTAGGTATACCCACTGTTCCCTGTACAGTTGAACTTGAAGGCAAAGGTACTGTATTAACCCTTGCCACCTCTTCTCTAGATGAGGAGTAACGTTTCCAGAAGTCCCAGTCACTAAATGCTGCATCACGTAACCGTTTTTGACGGCGGTAAAATGTGGAGTAGCTGTATCCAAGGCATTCATGCAGTCTGCCAGAAGATATTCTTCTCTTACGACTTGTTGCAGAATGTTGAATGCCCGAATCTAATACATTATCTGAGTTGTTTTCCTTATAATGGAAATGGACAAATATACACCCAAAATATAACTCACCTGCATGATTTATAAATCCTGTAAGAATGGTCTCTGTATGTAAGGAGTACTGCTTATATACCTCTAGGCAAACATCCGTTTTTTTAATATGAAAAGGGATGAAAGGTGAGCTGTAATCACAACTGTTAACACTTTCCCTACAGCAAGTATATGTTTTCATCTGTGAATCAACACAATCACTCCCCCTCTGGTTTCCTTTTGATACCCAAGGTTTTAATATATGACCTCGTAAACAGTGCTCAGCAATCGAAACAATTTACATTCTACTTATGACAAGTCTCCTTTTTCATCTGTGGGATTTCAGTCCCCCCCCCACCCTCACTTTTGTGTTTCATATTTCGTTGTATTTCATTCATGAGAAGTATATGTTTTCATCTGTTGTAGTTAATCCATTTTTTTGTTCTAATGTTTTTGCACTTTTCAACCATGGGCCTGTCATAAGTGAACCGTTATCATTTATTCTTACACATAAATTATGACAAATATATTTGCTCGACTGTTTAAAGTGCATTAAACATGGCCCAATATGTTCTCTCAATATTGTTTCGGTTTTTAGTTTTTGACCTCCATTTCATTGAGCTGTTATCAAATTTCGAAACGATGCACCAAAAAAATTTTTTCCCATAGCTGCTAGAATACACATTAGACACAACCTACCTTGCTTAAATTTTTTTTCATTGGTGACCTCGTCTCAACTGAACTGTAATCAAATTCAGGGACGCTCTCACAAACGAAATATATTATGCATTGCAATCTTCATATGTGAGAAATTCACATTCCCCTACCCCCCTGTTGAATTTCGTTTTCGTTGTACTCTTATTAACTCTCACACCTCTGGTCAAATAGACCAATCACATCATAGGTAATTAGCAGACAAGTATGTAGCCGTCACACTACATACTCTGTGTGAAACCTACTCTTTGCTGATTGGTTGGTTTCAACATGCTATGTCGAGAGAGAGAGAGAATGCTTTTTTTCAGCATTACCCGCAGCATTTAGGCATGCAGTGCTTATTTTCAGCATTGAAGGCATTATTTCAGATGCTGATCTTTTTTTTAAGATTTTGTCGCATTAATTCAGCACCAAGCTCTCATTTTAAGCACGACCAGCGTTATTTAAGAACATAGTGGGTAGATAAAATATTCATTTACCATAAAAAGGCATTATCAACGCATAGGTTAGAATAAGTTTAGAATTGTTGTAAGCTTGGGTTGGGTGTATCGTTTGAGTCGTTATATTTTAGAGTTATCTGGAGTTCTTTTCTCTCCTCATGCTGTCATTTTCAACGTTATCTTCTCAACCCTCCGCAGTGCCTTATCATTTTCGAGTGTTATATCTGCATAGCATGTGAGAATAGTCTCTCTTGTAGTGTAAAATAGAAGCTGGTCCCTTGGTCGAATTTTGCTTTCTATCGTTATTATCACTGTTTTTACTACTGGTCTGAATCCCACTATCACTTTATGTGGCTGTCTAATTGTTTGAAGCACAAAGTTGTATATGAAGAACGTCATTATCTTTGGCTTACCAATACTACGGAGTTATCTTGAGTTACAAAGTTTCAATCAAATCAAGTACATGGTTTGAAGTTTGGTGCACAAAAATATATGCTGTATCTTACTGACTAAATAAGGACGACAATAGTTGTCTAGAGTAAAAGTAGTGAACCTATCTGTCTGTTAAATTACTGGATCATTGTATATGTATACTATTATACGTGATATACAACATATTCCAGTTCACAGAGATGTTTCAAAAAGATTATTCAGTGCAAAAACAAGATTCTCAGTGTGTAATACCATAACTGCACTGCACTTACTCCAACAATGGGACTTAAGACTATTACTCATATTTTCAAGCATAGTAGCGTTTTCCACCAAGCTACTGGTCCGGAGAAGCTATCTTTTTTACAATCTGTATCAGCTGTTATCTGCTGGACTGGTATATCAGCTTGTTGTACATGAGGTGTATCTGATGGCTCAGTAGCTTAGTGTGTGCTATTTTTGATTGAGTGGGAAAGTCACTCGCTGGGAGTCAGTTACACCAACTGAATAGTCTTTAATAGGACAAAGTGGACTATATTCTATCATATTACACCGACATCACCTATTTCTTTTATCAATGTTACGATTTCAAACTAAGTATTCCAAAAAATAGTGACGATTTACCAGTCATGCGCATCGACTCTTTATAACTTTTGGGACCTCTGTAACTATTGTTTTACTTTGGCGCAACTGACTGGTAATTTTGAACTGGATTAATACATGTTTGCATGTAAATTATACTGATTTATTGTGTCACTGAGTAACGACTCCTCTCACAAAACTGCATTACATGTACAGGCTCGCATCAAATGAATATCAGAAAACAACAATTATTCATCTATACGTATATCGTCTGCCACTTCTTTCGGTTAATGAATTGTTAATTGTTTACAAAAAATGTAACCTAGATAATTTAGATATAAGCCACTTAACGGGCAACAAATCGTCAGTTGAAGATGTTCCTCTTTAATCTTTTATCTCATCTCGTATCCATTTTCTTGAGCAACAGTCTCGAGCATAGACCGGGTTACTTTTGGAAAAATACTCCTCAGTGTTCTCAAATTAAACTGGCGGTGACAATGACATTGTATAGTTGTAAGTACTTAACAAAATGTAAGATAATTAGACAGTTAATGTATTCCAACTAGTAGACGTGAAGGTAAATTTCCCATCGCATATAACATCGGATGATAGAACAACAAAATGGATGTCAAAATCATTTCTTGAACCCATTTTTATCTAAAATACTTTTTTGTGAAATAAAACTTTGGATATGACTTCAGTCAAGAGGCTGTTTACGTTCCTTTTTCCCTTTTTCCTGATATAACTTTTCTCACAAGAATTCTTGTGCTACCGGAATGGCGGCTTTCACACACTTTCTGAGCTCTTGTTCATGAAATAAGTCAACTTTTTCTTCTCGAACAAACTAAGAGTATTTGTTCATAGGATTCTTTGTTGTCTGAGACACAAGAGACTCAAGTGCAATCTTCTAGACTTAAGAACACACACATACATAATTCATAAACGGAATCCAGATTCTCAGCCTGTTTATTCTTTTTGAAATTGAAGTGCAAAAGTAATTCACCGAATGATGAGTTCTGTAATTTTATCTTGTAATAATTGAATGTGGTAAATAATCAGTGGGTAGTTTATCACTATTCTAATGTTTTTAAGTTGTGATACGTTTCAAGATGCATTTCTTAGTATCTGTTTATTGAGTTTGCACTGGAATAAATAACTCATTTAACACAATTAAAATGGTGACAGCAGGTCATAGTGTAATCTTCTTGATTTCGTTCTAGGATGGTGACTGAAGAACTGTGTAAAACCTTGACACTATCCAGGTCGAAAAATAGTGCTGTCTGGAGATATAAGTCATAACTCGCACAAAGCCATCGTCTGTGAATTCGCTATTATGTCACTACATTTTTAGAAGTAAAACAGGCTTTGCTTACTCAGTTGTACCAGGGCATTTTTACGTCACCTAGTGTTTTGTGAGCATGTATGAAACTTTTCAAAACTCGATTTATTTACAGTTTTAAAAAACCGTGAAGACTGCCCAGTTACAATGTCTTTAAAATCTTTTTTCCCATGTAGATATGGAGATGTTAAGTGTGGTTTTGCACAGGAATCAATAAATGCATTGAATACTATCAATGTTTTGCAGTAGTCAGTCGTTTTACACAAGCCTTTAATCTTGTTATTTAGATCAATATGGAGTGTATAAATTCAAGCAACATGGAAATTTGTAATGATCAATCAGTGAATCCCTCTAAAACTTCAGAATGTAATAGCAAAGTATCTAAACAAAGAAAGGCGTGCAAAAATACCAAACATTCTTGCAAACACGAACATGACAAGTGTTCGAAGAATTCCTCTTGCAAACACGAACATGACAAGTGTTCGAAGAATTCCTGTAATCCTGATGTTTTACGAAATCTTTCAACTGTAATTCAGAATTGGAAACTAGGTGATAAAGCCCCATCATACAAATCAACATCAACAGTTCTTAAAAATATTGAGAAACGTATCATTTACGGAAGTGTTGAAAAAATTCCTCTTGATTGTCAAGCTGCTGGTGGTGGACTAGCTTATCCGAAGGAGTCAAAGTTCATCTTCCATTATCAGATCCGCAAACTTGATGACGATCATACTGTTATTGATGATACGCGTAAATATGGAAAAACAATGGAGATGTATTCGGGGAAAGAATTCCAGTTGGAGGTTAGAAATGTGTAATTCATTCTTTGTTCCCTTACTTAATGGTTATCATTTTGTCAAAACAAACGTCCGCTTACGCACAATTTTGTTATCATATGATGACATTAGAATCTGACATTAAAGCCATTTCTGCCGGTTAATATCTCATTATCACATAATACGTAAATTCAATCGTGGAAACTGTAAAATAAATAATGCCGGTTAGTAAAATAGCACACCTATATGAGCAGCCACTCCTTCACTTATTATAATTTGAATTGGATAAGTGTTGTTATCCATTGATGGTTATTTTATGCTTTCGTATGAATTCATTGGATATCTTCGAAATTCGGTTCAGTCCTTAGGATGCTATATCAAAGGTCTTCAGTCCGAGTCCTCTCTGCAACTGAAGTTTTCATCGCATCTGCACAGTAATCTCCGTTTATATCAATTATATGTTTGTCAATGATGACCGTATTTCAGTTTTATATACAAGCTTAAGCTTACGGATCCACAACTCGTTTTATTGTGTAAATGAGATACAGTTTTTTAATTACTCCAGGGAAAATGAAATATACTTTAGAAACCACAATTCTACACAAGACAATGAGCTACTCCTACTCCTATTTTGTGTAGGTTAGCGCTACCATTTGGATTCATTAGGTAGGGTAGTGTTGAAACCTAGGGATTTTCCGGTCAGATATTTAGTGTTTAGACCAGTGAGTTGAACCTTCATTTCTTGAGAAGTGTTCACAGTTTTATTCCATGGAATAATTAATTTGCTTATGGATGATTACCGTAGTCTTCTGTGTAATTTGTAGATTAAGTCGAACATACAAGAGATGGGTAGTTTTTTCTGAGGCAGTTATGTATCGAGAGATTGTGCTTGCCTCCGATATTTCTGTTTTCATTTCAGGGGATGTTGCTTGTACACTCCTCCAGGAGGAATATCAAAAGTTTTACTTTTCCTCAGTGTTGATAAGATGGTGTGATACTTACTTTTATCCGTAATGAAATATAGCCTTTCGATATGTGTAAGGTGCAGCAGTTTGCTCGGTCCTACTGTGAGACATGACCATCGAAGTTGGAAGGTATGGAAGAATGAGTAGTTTTCATTCATTGATTTTTGTGTTCAATATAGTCAGTAGTAATGAGGTTAGGCTTAGTGTTAGGCGAGGAGAGAAATCTAGTTGACGATTTTGTGAAGCTCCAGTTTGCCACCTTCCGGATTTGGAAAACCGAACTGTTGTCTATTCGGTAGATTTGTATCTGTACTAGTTTCAGCCAACCACCTATCAGATAGATAGGTAGTAGCATAATTAAGGAAATTTGTGAATATATTCACTTTGCATTTATTAATTTTCCAACTGACTGTTATTCAGAATGGAGTATTCACACTAGCTCTTTATCAGGACGAAATAAACAGAAACTAACTTAGGGATTAATGAAACATGTAATTCAGCTGAGTTTCCTCCAGTTGTCAGTCCAAAATCTTTCTGATGGATTAAATGTTAAGTCTAGTTTCATAAACCAGATACTCATCGTTAGTCTTTCCTTAAAAGGTATATACTTTCTTCAGATAATCATGATTTGACAGTTGCAATTTACTAACCATAATGTATCAATAATGTTCACATGAAGGAGAACTACAGTAGTTGGCTCATGAGCAACTTATTTTGTTGTACATACATGTGTTATATCTTTCATCCCAATGAAATATGTATAGATTGCAGTCCAATGCGTATACTCGTTAGCAGGTTGTATTTTCACTTTTACACTTGACATCAATTACCTAATTTCTGGTATATGATTTTCCAAGAATGGTTTCTTAGGACAGATTTTCTAAACTACAACCTACTGTCATCATTTTTGTGTGCGACCCGATCAATAAACATAAGACTTTGAACAAACCACTAATAACATAAGTGGAACAAGATAAAATAGATCAGTTGTCTATATCATCAGTATCTTCTCAACCACGTTAAATCTGAATAATGAAAGTTAATAGTTTTATTGGAATTCTAACATACTTCAGTTCATTAGAGATAGTGTAGAACAATAATTAATAAGGATCATGGTATACAGATGAGTCGAAATGTTAAATCAGTAAAATATAGAAGTACTGTTATGCCCTTGTATGTAATGTGATCGAGGTTTCTCGGGTAAAACAAAAGGTGGGGAACAAAGATAACAACGAGATATTAAGATGTGTAAATTATAATATTACTTAAGTTATTTATTATTATTATTATTGTTCCCTTGGGTTCCTAGTGGAACATAGGGCTTCAACTGCACGCCTTCACTTGCTTCTGTCTTCTGCTGTACTTTTCACTTGCATCCATGTTAGTCCATACTGTTTCAACTCCTCTTCACACGATCTCCTCCATGTCACCCTTGGACGTCCCTCTCGCCGCTTCCCTTTCGGGTTCCACTCGAGGGCCTGACGCGCGATGTCACTCAACGGCCTCCTCAGCGAGTGTCCAATCCATCACCACTTTCTTCTGCTTATTTGTTGAGCAATTGGTTCTTGTTTTGTTTGTTCTCATAGTTTCTTGTTGGTGGTTCTTTCCGGCCATCTGATCTTGAGTATAGAGCGAAGACAGTTGTTGATAAAGGTCTGCAACAGGCTGTTGGAAATATTCTTTGTGACCCGCCAAGTTTCTGATCCGTATAGCAAAACTGACTTGACGTTTGTATTGAAAATCCGAATTTTGTTGTTGATGCTGAGTCATTAGAAAACTATAAATAAACATGAACAATCAATATGATTGTAATTGTGAATAATAATATGTTGCTGAGATATCACTTCGTAAATAAACATGTATCAGTAGACAGGAAATAACGAAGAAACAGTAGGTAGCCAGTGTAGCTAGTCATCCTAGCCCTTAATATTGATTACAACCTGACAGGGGGGTTTGAAGAGAGATGTGTTCTTGATGAACTCTGTAAACCAGGAAACCTAAATCCATGAGTGTTTTTTTTTCAGATTTGTTTGTTAGCATCACTACCATGATGTATATATTGGATAAACAAACAAGATCAAATTTCTGCTATATTACCGTACCTTCATATCAAGTCACTGTCACTAATGGAGTTGTCTTGATTTCACAATTATACTTTGAGTTTTTTTAACTTTCAACTTATTTGATTTTCCTCCCTCCATCTGCTTTTCTATTAGTTTTGGGAACATTGTTTAGGCACTATGCTACCTGGTGAAGTGTCATCTTTCATAGTGCCTGCAGAAAGACTTGCTTCATTTCCAGCTGTCAATAAAAAACTACGTGATTATATGTTAGACAAGAAGGATCATGCTGTAAAACACTGCTGTGGATTAATGAGTTTACAAGAACAAGGCGGTTTAGGCTATCCAGATCTTGATGAGTTAATGATGAAACCAGAATCTCTTGAATTTATTTTCGATCTGATCAAGTGAGTCTCCTGTTTTTATGTCTTTCTTGAGAATCGCTATCTTAAAATTTTATAATGGAATGTAGATCATTTCATGCTTTGTTTTCATCTCATCACCAAAATTTGAAATCATTGTGTACTGAATCGATATTTCCGTGTAAAATGTTGGTTGATTATCTGTTAGTTATTAGACAAGCATATATATAACTCAGAACTTGAAGAGGTTACGAATCGATTAGGCATTTTTATGCTTCATATCAGGGAAAGTAAGGAAATGTAAAGTGTGGTCAACGAAAATAGCAGGGTCTAATGTTATCGAATGAAACAAAGGTGAGAATTCCATTTGATTCAAGTATTACAGAGTAAATAAATAAAAGGTGTATATGTGGCTGATGTAGTTACTTCACCTCTGACCATTTGGTAATACATTCGGTTTATTTCTTTTCCTTTTTCGCGTTCCCAGTGGATCACTACACGGCTTAAAACTTTCAAATTTCAGTAGTGGTGGTGTTATTTCTACGGTGTGAGATTGCTAACCCAATCTACTCTCTTTTTCGGCTTTACTACGAAAAGGGCGAGGTGTAGGAATGCGTCGACCGAGAATTCAACCCAGACATCTCATGTGGCTGACTAGCATTCTGTTATTGAACCGCCGACTCCTAATACGTTCTAACTCTCACAAAATAGACGTAGTGCATCAACTTGTAAGGAAAAAGGTTTTCTCTTCTTGTAAAATGCCTCGATAAATAAAACAGGTGCTACTGTGTACTTTCGTTTATTTTGATGGTAAAGCAGAAGTATGCCTACCGCTCACAACAACATACGAAATACCTAAGTTGACTATTTCATTTGTCAAATGTTTCGGTGTCATGCTAGACATCATCAGTGCTTCATGTGTAAGTGAAATAATTTATGCAATAATTCAATCAGCCCTAAATACAAGTATTCTCCAACATTTCTCGTTATACCTACTAATCATGTTTTCTTATAAGTAACATATTTTGGAACGGGAAAGTAGTGGTGAAAAATACGAATTCGGGACTCAGTCGAGGCTCCGTAATTTGAATGACTACAAATGAGATCCCTGAACGAGGACCGATTGGACGGTAAGCTTGGTTCCAGCTCCTAAAGCGTATATTAATGTTGTTTCAGTTAAAAAGCTTGTAGTTATACCTGGGTTGTGCAGTCCAATGCCGTTACTTGTTCACGGCTCTTTGGTCACGATTAGGGATTGTGTTTGACTGTGCGGCCCTTTAGCTTTGTCTGTGTAAATGTGTGTTATTATTATTATTATTGTTTCCTTTAATTCCTAGAGGAACATAGGACTTCAGCCGTGCGTCTCCATTGCGTTCGGTTCTCTGCTAGAGTCTTCACCTGGCTCCAAGTCTGCCCACACGTTTTCATCTCCTCTTCACATGACCTCCTCCAAGTCACCCTTGCACTGACGACCAACTCGCCTCTTCCCTTTCGGGTTCCACTCGAGCAATGGCTTTTCTAGTGATGTCACTTGATGGTTTCCTTAGAGTATGGCCAGTCCATCTCCATTTCTTCCTGCTTATTTGTTGCACAATCGGTTCCTGGTTGGTTCGCTCCCACAGGTCCCTATTGCTGATCTTTTCTGGCCATCTGATCTTGAGTATTGAGCGAAGACAACTGTTAATGAAGGTCTGTAGTTTGTTTGATATGCTCTTTATGACGCGCAGTGCAAGTCTCTGATCCGTATAGTAGCACTGACTTCACATTGGAGTTGAAAATCCGGATCTTATTTTTGATGCTGAGTGCTGTTGACCTCCACACAGACTTGAGAGTAGTGAAAGCTTGTCTTGCTTTTCCGATTCTTGCTTTGATATCCTCGTCAGTTCCGTCTGCCTGTAGTTGAAACGATGCTTCCCAGGTAGGTAAAGGAGGTTGTTTCTTTCAGGTTCCTCCCATTTATGCTGACTGTTGTCTGTTGTTGTTGCTGTTGGTGGTGTTGCCCAGGAATCTTCATCACCTCTGTTTTCTCTATGTTCACCTGAAGTCCTATCTTTGATGCTTCTTCTGCTAACTTGTTGCTTTTCACTTGCATATCTTCCAGTTTGTGGGAAATCAGACATATATCATCGGCGAAGTCCAGATCCTCCAGGTTTTTTGTGTGGGTCCATTTTATGCCTGTTTCCTCGATGCTCGCCGCTGTCTATCGCATTATCCAGTCTACCGCAATCATGAAAATTATTGGAGATAGTAGGCAGCCAGATTGTCTTACTCCCGTCCTCACTTCGAAGGATTCCGTAAGTTTCCCATTGTGGATTACTTGGCATGCAGCATTGTCGTATAGCTGTTAGATGAGATGTATAATTGTCGGCGGCACCCCGTAGTAGCGAAGTAGTTGTGTGTTGTTGGAGATGATTAAGTTTGTCTTGCCCACAATTCTGTTGGCATGCTTTCAGAATCGTTTAACCAGGTATCGGGGACGGACAACATTCTGACTGTCAACATATTTTATTGCTCAAGGTAGGCATTTGTGCCTCCCTTTTTATCAGTATTCGAAAATTTTAGTCTGGTTTTGTTTTCACTGACAAATATTTAATATATATATATATATATTCTCTTCACAAATAAGTTATGTATAATCAAAACTAATATGACGAATCTGACCAAGTTAATTTCATCGAATAGTCCATATGCTATGCCTGTCTAGCTATTGATCAGGATACCTCTTCTTTCTTTAAATCTATAGACAGGGAATAGTCATTCATAGTATGCTTATTGTTATTATCTTATGTATGTTGGGCGATGGAGTAGAACATAACTCTTTATTGTTAAATCGAATCAATAAGGGCGTTATATTTGTTAAGGATAAGTTTGCTTGGTAATTAATTGCCCAATTCGTCTTTATTGTTTGTATTTTGTTTAACATCGCCATCTAAAGAGCATCAAACATTTAACGATTTTCTAAGTTTAGATATACTTTGATTTGTATGCATTTGAAACTCAGATACATTCATTCATACATGTAGACTTTATTATTATTTATTGCATTACAAAAAGCCAATATCTAAAGTATTTGATTAAAAACATTGTGAACATTCTAGAAAGTGATTTCATCATATGAGTCTTGAGCCCCAGGATATATTTTGTTTTCTTTCGTCTCAATAGACATTTCCTGTGCATCTAATCTCTAGGCGTCTTACCGACTAAACAGTGATAATATTTATTTCCAAAGTATAATAATTATACAGAACAGGATTTTCAGCTTTGTGGACACTCAAACAATCCATCTCCTTTTAACACGTAAAAAATAACTTAAGTAATAAGAGTAATAAAGCTACAAAAAGAGGATCCCATTAGTCTTCCCTGGGCTAATGAAAAAGGACTATACCATCCTGAGAGGGATGTTGAAGGTAGTTGGTAGGACTAGTAGTGTAAAACTCAATCAGCTCGCCACCACATTAGTAGAAAAGCATCTGAATACATGCGAAAAATGGTCTAAAACCATACTCTCCGACCCCCAACACCCCCTCTATTCCCAATTTTCTCCTTGTATCTCATCAGGTAGAACCAGAAATCAGTACAAAATAACATATGCTCGTACAACCAAGTACAGGAACTCAGCGATACCATATTTGGCCCGTGTTCTAAGTGACAGAGACAATGTTAAGCGCGAAACCTATGACTTGCTTTGTTGTTAATAACATAATTTTAGGCACTTTTATTTCTCTCTTATTTGTATTCTATAGTGAACATCTTCTTAAACATACTTAGCTACCTAAATTATTAACATTGGCTTCCTTCTTCTGTGTATCTACCGGTTCCGATTATATTAGTACTATATTACAAAATTTCCCTGTCATTAACCATCATGTAGTATTAGTTTTGTGGTTGTTTTTGCTCGGCAATATTAACTGACAATCTTGGTTGTGAACGTGATTATCACCATCTTAAAAATTTGTATTATGCAGGATTACTCACACTACCACTACAAACACCGCATTAGAGCTGACAATAAAAAATCCTGAAATGTTATTTTATGATTGTTTAGTGTTGTTTCAACCAAATTAACTGATCATCTTGGCGATAAACATTTTTAAATATCATTTCATAACTTCTTGTATGACTACAGCTTTACTGTCACCACGCATAAACATATCATAGCTTCCACTACCCAATGCTGAGATATTACTTATGTTGTTTATTTTCCTTTCTACTTCTTGGTATTTTTTCGCATTTTTTTATTATTTTGTGTTTTTTGTTGTGTTGTTGTTTTTCTATTTTTTTGAAATACTCCTATTAAATGTTTGATAACATTAGATGCAAATATTGTAGATATGTGCTGAAAATTCCACACTGTACCACTAGTACTGTTTCTGGAATAAAGCAAAAATTATTATTATTAGAAGAAGAAGAATATTTGCAATAATAATACTGGTTAAAAATTTGGTTCATAAGCTCTTTTCTTACATTCGTGTCTTCACACAATACCTGCGCTGTATATGGTATAGTTGAATGGAAGCAGTCAAATGACCTGGATGCAGCCGATCATGTGCTCCTAGATCAAAAGTGGCATTCGTAGTATTGAAAAGTGTTTACTGGATATATAACAAAAACGAATTATATAGGGTGCATGTCTCTAATATGCTGCAAAAAGGAGATCTCAGTTTTCCATAGGAGTGGTTATAATAAACAAATCAGATTCTGTATGAGTACCAGTTATAGGATCCACTGATTCTGATGAATGATTGACTCTATGATGAATATAACCTAATGATGATAGTCACATTTCTCAGCATTTCAAATGGATGCTGCCCATAATGATCGTTTCAATTTTCACCTTAACCACAACTCTGACTTAATCCCACCCTAACCCTAACCCTGAATCCGGGTGAGACTTACAATGTTGAGCTATCGGATAGGATGGTTCAGGGTCATTTGATTGTGGTATCTAGTCTATACTCTTGCTGGTTGAATTTTTATATTTAGCCGTATGAGCATAAATTCTTATGAAATTTCCCGTTTCAACTAGACGAAAGGAAGAAGTTGCGAATAAATGGGATATTTAGTATCCGACAAGATGACTTTAGTCAATCGCTAACAAGAATTAAAGTGCCTATCAACAATAATGTCAGTTAGTAGGATCAAAGGTATACCACTAAGCTTGCTTGCAGCCTTCAAAGTCATACGTAATATAACGTAGTCCTTTTCGAGAAGTCCATTACAGAATAACGGGGAACAATGAAGAATGGGTAGAATAAATGAATTGATACATCGTAAGACAAGTGGTTTATTTTCATTGGTTAAATGTTGCAAAAGAAAACATTTAGATTTATGGTACTCATCAAAAGTTTGGAGTCAAACGGGAAGGCGTGTTGGTCAGAACGATTCTGTTTAATTAGAAGAAATCAAAATAGGTATCGTCTGTGAGGGTTGTTATACTAGTAACACTAGCAATAATCGTTCTTTTCAAGACTATTTCTAGAATATTCGCGGAAAATATTTATTCAAACATTTATTGTATAGAATGTGTGGAAACGCAAAAACTGATACTAACTTCGGCGATTGTATATCGGTGGTTCAGAGGTAAGTAAGTTCAACAAAGAAGGAAGGTGGGGGGCATGTAGCTAGCGACCCCATCCCGTCGGGACAAAACACCACTGCTGCTGAAAATTCAAAGCTCTAGGTTGAAGCGCTATGTTTCACTCGGAACGCAAAGAAATAGAATAACACATAAATAACTTAAGAGATTCCACAAAATATTTTCGAATACGAGTTCCAATCTCCAAGATGATATCAATTCCGATGAGGTTGTAGACACCATCTGATGACAGGTTGAAGTATTCACGAAACTCAGGTCAAGGCCTTTACCTCTAACAAAATCCTTATATATTTTCTACGTCACTTCTATTTATGTTCGTCATAATATAATTACAGTTATATCGTGTGGCGACATAAACTGCTACACTTTTGTGCCAAGTTCATCGCTGATAATTCAGTTAGTCATTGTACTATGTCTATGAAGATAACCGGTATTGAGACTTATTAGTTCACATTGTAATCTGAATCAGTTGAATAACTCTTGGCTAAAGAGTCTAGGTCTTAACATCTGTTTGTTGCAGAGATTGGGATTGTAATTTTCTTAAGAATTCGAAACTGTAATATGATAGCTACTCACCTGACCCTTATTTTTAATATTTAATAACTAAATTTATGCCTACTTCGTTTCCTCATTTATTTCCCAAATATTTTTTTTAATATAACTGTTTCGTAGAGTTGAAATTCCGGGAACTAATCGTAAAGAAACATGGATAATGACACCTGAAGAAAAAATTGCAATGATACCAGTTTTACGTGAAGAAGGCAATAAATTCTATGGTCATGGTGAATATAATCAAGCCGCTGCACGTTATAGTGAAGCGTTAGGCATTTTAGAACAATTAGTTTTACGTGAAAAACCCGGAGAACCAGAATGGATTGAATTAGATAAATCCCGTATACCATTATTTGTAAATCTTGCACAGTGTCAATTCAAAATGAAAGTAAGTAACTCCGTGATGAATTTTATTGATATTTTACGTTAGTGAATGTTTAAGGTGAATGTGTGAATTATTTAATTGCATTTTATCTCATGTTCTTGTTGGACCATACACTTTATTTGGATTTAAATGATAATCAAAACTCGCTGACTATTATTCCATCTTGTACTTGTATCACTTTGCGACTTATTTCTAATTTGCCTTTATTGGCTATTGTATGCGGAAATTAATGGATTTATAATTGCAGAACCTAATGAAGAATCAGACAATTAAATATCTCATCCAACAGCTGTACGACAATGCTGCATGCCAAGTAATCCACAACGGGAAACTTATGGAATCCTTCGAAGTGAGGACTGGGGTAAGACAATCTGGCTGCCTACTATCGCCAATGATTTTCCTGGTTGCAGTAGACTGGATAATGCGACAAACAGCGGGCAATGAGGAAACAGGCATAAAATGGACTCACACAAAAAACTTCGAGGATCTGGACTTCGCCGATGATATATGTCTGATTTCCCACAAACTGGAAGATATGCAAGCGGAAAGCAACAAGTTGGCAGAAGAAGCATCCAGAGAAGATAGGACTTCAGGTGAACATAGAGAAAACAGAGGTGATGAAGATTCCTGGCCAACAGCAACAACAACAACAGACAACAATCAGCATAAATGGGAAGAACCTGAAAGAAACAACCTCTTTTACCTACCTTGGAAGCATCGTTTCAACTACAGGCAGACGGAACTGACGAGGATATCAAAGCAAGAATCGGAAAAGCAAGATAAGCTTTCACTACTCTCAAGTCTGTGTGGAGGTCAACAACACTCAGCATCAAAAATAAGATCTGGATTTTCAACTCCAATGTGAAGTCAGTGCTACTATACAGATCAGAGACTTGCACTGCGCGTCATAAAGAGCATCTCCAACAAACTACTGACCTTCATTAACAGTTGTCTTCGCTCAATACTCAAGATCAGATGGCCGGCCAGAAAAGATCAGCAACAGACAGGGATCTCTGGGAGCGGACCAACCAGGAACCGATTGTGAAACAAATAGGCAGGAAAAAATGGAGATGGATTGGCCATACTCTGAAGAAACCATCAAGTGACATCACTAGACAAGCCATTGCTTGAGTGGAACCCAAAAGGGAAGCGGCGAGTTGGTCGTCAGTGCAAGGGTGACTTGGAGGAGGTCATGTGAAGAGGAGATGGAAACGCGTGGGCAGACTTGGAGCCAGGTGAAGACTCTAGCAGAGAACCGAACACAATGGAGACGCACGGCTGAAGCCCTATGTTCCTGTAGGAATTAAAGGATACAATAACAATAATATAATAATAATGAAGAATCTACTGAAAACAATTGTCCACTCTAATTATCTTTGTTCTAATAATTATGTGCTTTTATAATTTATGAAGACGTAAATAATACTTATGATGATAATAAGTAGTTTGAAAACCGCTTCAACACTACGGAGTACCCCAAACTTTCATCAAATCCATTCAACAGCTAGCTATATGATGATGCTGCATAGAAGGAGATTCAAAACAGAGGACTCAGTGAAGGCTTTGAGTTGAGCACAGGAGTAAGACAAGACTGCCTACTATCACCAATGATATTCTCGATTGTGAAGGACTAGATCATGTGACAGGCCGTGGGATGCGTGAAGACGAAAATACGTTGGATCGACAATGGACTGTAGAAGATATGGACGTAGCGGACGATTTATTTCTGATATCACACAAACTCAAAGATCTACAGGTTGAAACTAACAGGTTGGAGGAAGAGGCGTGCACCAAAGACAGGACTTCAAGTGGATACAGAGAAGATAGAGGTGATGAAAATACCTAACCCAAAATAACAAGCATCAATCTCTACTCCTTTCTTTCATTTACCTATACAGCACCGTTTCAAATACAAGTGGCTTCGATGAAGATTTCAGAGGCAATATCAGAAAAGCAAGACAAACCTTCACTAATCTGAAATCAGTGTATAAATCTGCTGCATACAACATAAGGAACAAGATTCGGATTACAAGCACTAATGTCAAGTCACTGCTTCCACATAGTTCAGAGACTTGGTACATCACCGAAAGTATTTCCAACAGGCCTCAAACTTTTAACAACAGTTGCCTTCGCTCCATAATGAAGATTAAATGTTCTGTTGGAAAGAATTGGCAATAAGTCACTGTGGCAGCGAAACAACCAAGAACCCCATAGCCGAACAAATATGCTGAAGAAGGTGGAGATAGATTGGACACACTCTCAGGACACTATCGAGTAGCATCACACACCAGGCTCTCGAGTGGAACCCTAATGGAAAACGACAAGTTGAGTGTCTGAGGGTAACATGGAGGAAATCATGTGAGGATGAGATGAGATCTAATGAGCAGTCTTGGTGCCAACTAAGAGAGACTATAGAGGACAGAATGAAACAGCAATATGCTGCTAAAACCAAGGGAATAATGATCATAAATAATATCTATTAACTACACTGAACTTGCAATGTGTTTATTAATTCAACAATGATGACATTCAGTTACAAGATTTCATCATGAACTGACATCGATTAGAGGAACCATTGGAAAACCTAGAAGTACTGTAACCAATCAACCGAATCCCTACAAACCAATACTTGAATACCAGTAAGATGCTCAGTAGCGACTGGCCCTATTCAGGTAGGTAGTTACCTGGGGTTCTAGTGGGAAGTCGTGACCAGTAAGGTACAGCATGTCGGGCGTGAGGACAAATACTCGCCGAAGACATTGGCTACTGGCCACGCTATGTCGTGAATTGGCAGAAGTTGGAATTCATGGACCATTGTATTGGATCCCAGTAACTTAATGGTCCATGAGCTCGTCTCGAAACCATAGGGTCCTGGGTTTGTACTGCTGTGAGGTCCCAAACTGGGACGAAACAGTTGTTCAGTACTCCCAGGTTTTCCAATGGTCCCTCCAACCGACGTCAGCTCATAATGAAATCCTGTAACCAATCAATCAAACCCCTACAAACCGATACTTGGATAATGATGATATTTCTCAAACTGTAATTCATAGCATTTTGAACTTAAAACTCGATGCCTAGTACTACTACCATGTAAGCCCGAATATTAATTAAGCATATGTTTTGGTGAAATCATATTGATAGGCAAAGTGTAGAAGTCATTCAGAACCACGTCAGTTGACACAAAAATAAAGCTGACTATACTCCCAGAACTAATGGAAACCTAGAATTGCACTGCACTGATATTAGAATAGAGTTTGGGCACTGTGGTAGAGTATAATTCCAACAGTGATACAGTATTATATACTAACTGATGACGTTTCGGGCACAATTTACTATTTATAATTGTATCAAGATTTTGAATTCATAACCCAACCGGTTAAATCAAGCACCTAAATCATTGAAAAAGATAGCTCTCCATTTGAAATAAGATTGAAAATGATGTTTATATATGTAATTGTTATGAATTACTTGTGCACTCTGTCGAGAAAGTGAAAACTCTCCTCCTTGTACAGTTACCCTTAGTTTCAAATTGCACCATAGTGCAGTATTCAGGTTTCCCCATTGGAAGAGAATTGAAGTTTTCAAAGAATAGATTTAACTAGAAGTACAAGAAGTACTGTTGTATATCTTCTCGAATGGTGCGTTAAACGAAGTAGAATAGTCAAGTAATACTTATTTTTAGCCTTGTCAATGTTGTTTTTTCAATTGTTCAGTTCTAAAACCTCGTGTACATTGTGTTCACTTTCGGTTTTTTTTCTTTCATCAAACTAATTTAGGATTATTATGCTGCAATACGTAATACCACTGAAGCGTTATCTCGAGATCCGACAAATATGAAAGCACTTTATCGTAGGTCGAAAGCGTATACAGAGACATGGGATTTAGACTTGGCAGCTGATGACCTACGGAAATTGGCCAGTTGTTATCCTGATATGAAGAATACAGTTGATAGAGATTTAAAACTGTTAGAAGCAAAACGTGTTGATCAGGAGATGAAAGAAAGACAAAAACTTGCTGGGAAACTGTTAGCTGGTTTGAAATCAGACACAAATTAATATGTCAACTTCATATGTGTATTATAGTGATGTAAATGTTGTAGGAGTTATGCGGTTAAGATGATGCACACCTTGAGTAAGTAATTTTATTTTACACACGACTTTAAACGTCATTCAATAATTTCATTTTTTTAAATAAACTTTTTGCAATCATTTCATGTTAAAACAATTAGTCCCTTCGATGACCGACTGACTGACTGGTTTCAACGTAGAACTTAGCACAGATATGCAGCAGTTCGAGTTGCCACTCTCCGTCCATGAGCACACAGCAAGAAAAGAGAGTAGAGACAGATTCAAAACAGAGATAATAAAATGAATAGTAATATGGATGAACTATTTAATTTTATTGGATGTTATAAAACACAAAGAGTAAATGCATCTGCGCCGGCTATTGACAACGATTTTGAGCCATATCACCGATTATCTCCAGTCTTCATTGGATTTCACCATCCCGGGGACCCCAACCAGGAGGTTTACACCTCCCTACATGACCGGCTTAAACTAACTGTTGTGAATTTCATTGACGGTTTTCATGTTTTGGTTTGACCACCGCTGGCTCTTTTCCGACTTGATCCTATGTCTGCTAACATTGCCCGTCAGTCGAGGAAGGCGATGCCTGGACATACGTAACACATATGTCCTAACCATCTCAATCGGTGTAACTTCACAACCTCGTCGATTGATTTCCCCTGTTTACCTAGCATTCGACGCCTAACATCAGTATTGCTCACCTTATTATACCACTTCACACGGGAGATAGGACGCAGACACCTATAATCAAAGACGGCTAACTGGCCTCTTCATGTTGTAACAACAGAAAACAAGGGCCAGGCAACAGATCCTTTATTACGGAAAATCAACACATATTTATACATTTTGACGTACATTATTGTAGGTTAATGTTAGTAGAAAATAGTCTGTTGATTGGTTGTTCCTCACACAAAGTTAACCTTGCATCTCTTGTGGCTGTGTCAGTTCTGTATCCGCCTGTCCATCTTGACCTTGACCTCAATTATTGTCAACCAATTTGGCTAGCAACCATCTCTCACCCCAACATGACTAATATTTGACACATAAACATTGACCTCAATTACTGTCAACCACTTGGCTAGTAGACAGCTCTCACCACAATGTCTTCCATTTTCAATGGCCATGTCTCACAGCCAGCCATAAAGGAGGACGGAACGGACTGCTGAGCAGTACACACGTCCTTTGGTTGAAAGCCGGATATCAGGTCCATGCTAGAGATGGCGTAAATTGACACACGCCAAACAAGCCTTCTGTAATCATGCTGAGATTTCATCAGCGATCAACCCGTTGGGGCTGATGCAACTTCCCAAATACGTGTAGCGATCAACGCGCTCTACCACTTCACTCCCTATTTCTACATTAGAAGTCAGCGTAGTCCAGTCCTGTAACATCATCTTACATTTGACAGAGGGAGCAAAATGCATGCCAAATATTAGCAGATTGCAGCTCAAGATGTTCAGAAGACTCTGTATTTTGTCAGCGTCTTCACCTAGAAAGACTATATCATCTGCATATTCTAAGTCAACGAGATTATTCCCTGGTGGTTACAAGTTAGTCCCTGAGTCTCTGAAGTGAGTTAGGGTTAATTCCATTAGTACATCTATGATGAAATTGAATAGAAATGAGGATAGTGGGCATCCCTGTCGGACACCACTAGTTGTCACCACTTCAGATGACAACTCGCCGTAGGCTCTCACCTGGCTGACTGCCTTAGTAGAGTGCCTTAATCAGTGCAATGTATTTTTTATTTTCATTACTTTACATTTCATCATTTGAAGTGTACTTCAGAATATGAAATCAAAATGTTTCAACGAATAAAATTTTATCATTGTCTTATTCATTACATCGTTTACTGTGGATGCATATGAGATTTTAGAAATGTTGTCCAGTTAGTTGGGCAGTCTTTTATACAGATTTGACTTACTCTTGATTTTCCTCTGATACAATTGCCTAGACAATCTTTTGATTTTGAAAATCCAAGGACTAATGCTTATCAACAATACTTTGATTGAACACTAGTAACTAGTGTGATATATCTACTCCTTTCTTTGGTGCAGACTGAATTCTATCAGTCAAGTTTGCAATGCGGCCACCATTCTAGGTAGCTCGCCATCATGGTGCACATTGATTTGATGATATTAGGTAGTTGGAGGCAGTCGGCAAGGCTTCCTGCCGATTTCCTCCAACCATCCAATATCAGCTTATCAACAATAAAATTTATTCATTTTATTTTTACTTGCAAAATGGAATGTACAGGTAAATGTTTCTTTTATCTTTTATTATTTTGTATCTAAACAGGTTTATATCAGTTAGAAACAATGTTTTCCAATAACTCCTGGGTGTCTGACAACTGCTCATCAAAAAGAAATTCTAGAAATCTATTAACAAATAAGCGCATTTATCTTAGGAAATGTACTCATCACTGGTATTGTCAAATACCTCACCGTTCTTGTGTGCGTCTGCCTTTGTGTACATTACTTCTTTACTAAACTTATTAAAATACACTGTGATATGTTTCGTGATTGCACTAATATTAACTTCCATTGTTCATCTTTTATCTATCTTTACAATTCTTGTTTTTGTTGTTTTCATTTCTCGTACAAATTTTTCCATCACACTGCATGCATTATATTGTTTTCGAAAAGTTTTGAACACTATCCAACAAATAAATAAATTTCTGAAATAGGCATCTGTTGTTTTTTCTTCTTTTTCTCGGCAGCTGAATAACAATTTCACCCCTTGATTTTTGTTTTCATTCCCTTTAATATATATACATACGTATACATATTATGCAATTTACTTGACACTCTTCTGTCTATATTACTGATTGTACAACTTTTATACTGTGTTGTGCTAATCAGTATACTTCTTTGTGTGTTTATTGACTAATTTGTTTCTCATTTATTATTTATTTTATCTGCACAAAAGTCGTACAGGATATATTTTGGATGATTTGCTCATTGTTCGTTCGTTTCACATTAATGTTTATTAGCTGAATAACAGACCTATTGATTTTTTCTGCTTATTATTATTATTATTAAGACACATTACTGGCACCAGGAGATGTGCCACACAAAATTTCACAGTTTGTAAGGCGATTGAGATCGGTCGGTCGGTCGGTTTTCGACATAGAACTTTGCATATATGTGCGGCAGTTCAAGTCACCACACTCCATGTAGCACACAAAGCAAGAGAAGAAAGTAGAAGAAATGCGTAATAGAGACAGTAAACAGAGGTGTGAGACAAAGGAATAGTAATAACCAAGAACAAAACAGTCTGATTGGAAATCCTAAGTCACAAGGAGTGGATGCATCTGCGCCACTGAGAACGATTTTGAGCCATGTCACCAATTGTTTCCAACCATTGGTTTTTACCGTCCCGAGGACCCCAACCAGGAAGTCTACACCTTCTTACGTGGCTTAGACTAACTGTTATGGATTTCATTGACTGGTGCCATGTTTTCGTTTGACCGCCACTAGCTCTTTTCCAGCCTGGCCCTATATCAGCTAACATTGACCGTCGAGGAAGGCGATGACTAGGCATACGTAGCACATGTCCTAACCATCTCTGTCGAAGTAATTTCACAGTTTCGTCGATTGATTTCCCCGCCTTACCTAGCACTCGACGCCTAACCTCAATATTGCCCACCTTATCATACCACTTCACGCGAGAGATAGAACGCAGACACCTATGATCAAAGACAGCTAATCTTTTCATGTCTTCTGCTCTCAATGGCCAGGTCTCACAGCCATAAAGGAGGACGGAGCGGACTGATGAGCAGTACACACGCCCTTTGGTCGACAGTCGGATATCACGTCTACGTCAGAGACGGCGTAAACTGGCGTATGCGAACCTAGCCCTCTGTATTCGTGTTGAGATTTCGTCTGAAATCAACCCGTTGGGGCTGATGGTACTTCCCAAGTAATTGAAGCGGTCAACGTGCTCTACCACTTCACTTCCTATTTCTAATCTAGGGGTAGGTGAAGTCCAATCCTGCAGCATCATCTTACATTTTACATGGGCGAATCGCATGCCAAACATACGGAGATTGTTGCTCAAGGTGTTCAGTAGACTCTGCATTTTGTCAGAATCCTCGCCTAGAAGGACTATATCGTCCGCATATTCTAAGTCAACGAGATTCTTCCCTGGTAGCAAGTCAATCCCTGAGTCGCTGAAGTGTGTTAGGGTTAAGGCGATTGAGATACTACTTGGACGCCTAGACCGAAGCAGATGGTTGTCTTCTGGAACCACTTCCCAACCTTTGACTTGAAGTCGGATCCATAAGACAGTGGAGCAGCGTTAGGAGCTAAGTTCCAACTGTTTTTTGGTGACCAAAATAGGTCCATACGTCATTCAATTCGTTTGTATCCTGGAGCCCATCTACACTAGACTTGGAGGTAGGGTTTTCCAACTCCTGAGATAAATCAGCATGTACACCAATCCGGTTTTTAAGGCATTATATGAGAGCTACATGGTAGAGGTTATGAAAGTGTCACATGGGAACATTTCTACAGGAAGATCGACGTCTACTTCGGCTGTATCAGGTCGTTTATAGGGGCTAGTGTATAGCACCTGCCTTATAAAAATCCCTGCTGAAGCCTGTGAATGCTAATGAAAAATAAGAGCAGCTTGTATACAAAATATATATATATCGATCTTCCAACCTAACCGAAAAGTGTATTCTGTGGTTTAACTATTGATCAACAGATAATGAGAAACTCGCATGCTGATTTTTTTTTGTAATTTTTCACTGATCTTGAGTATGAACGAATTAAGCGTGTAAAAATTCTTAAAGCCATATAAAAAGTTCATTAGATTATGTCAGCTGTGCACTTAACGCACGTATTAGTTTGTATAGGGAGGACGTTACTAAATTTACGCAAGCGAATAAAGTTTTAAATGAACAACCTTAAATTTCTACCTAAATTGACACGAAAGCTTTGTAGGTCACAAGTTCAAGTGTAGAGAATAAAATAATATTCCAGTGAGATCCATAATTTGTGTTTAAAGGTGAAAAAGCGAATCGCAGATGTAAATTATGACATTAATAGGCGGTACCATAGTGAGGAACTTCGCGTACAATTCAGTTAGTGCAATAAAAGCAATCGGCAAGGGAGATCATTTGAAACTTATCAGAAAAAGAGCATGTAGTTAGAAACTATGTCGTATTCATGTAAGCTTAACACTTCTAATCCATGTATGTATTATGTTTGCTGAATCTCCACATGAATGACGTTAGCGATAATGAACGTTGATAATTTCCCCCTTGGACTTCCCTCTTACATAAATGTTTTTTTATTCCTTTGCATTTTGAGTGGAACATAGGAGTTCAATGCTTAGAGCTTTGAAGTTTCAGTAGTAGTTGTGTTCTGTTTTTTTATGGAGTGTGGTTGCTAGGCTCACGCTCAACCTTCTATTTTTTTTAGCTGGGTTTACTACCATCTAAGCGAGGTATAGCAGTGCGTCAGCCTAGGTTTGAGCATTTTACCAATGAACCACTGTGAAGAAGACAAGACTGAGGAGACTGGAAGGATTGTTTATTTGGTGAAACGTATGGTACATAGCTAAATTTGGAATACCATATTCTAAACCGGCCATTTGCACATCTTCACCACATCCTTGACGAATTGGTCGAATATCGTCTCGTTCGATAGCTTCTTGGATTCTGCATCATATGGCAACATTCTTCTCATGGTTCTCTTCTTTGATTGCTCTTTTCAGTGTGCCAAACATGTTGTTACTTCGTTCCTGATATACTACTTATATCGGATTATAAGTAGCACTCACCACACTCGCCCCCTCATTATAAAGTCTCTCCTGTAACCGCCTTGATCGCCGCACAGACGTTTCTTCCTGTTGCTCTTCTGGTACCTCATCTTGACATTCTTCTCTCCATCTTTGTAGCAGACTGGCGTTTACTCTTTTCTCTTTATCTCCTCTCTTTATTGTGTACACTGGACCGCGTCTCGATGTGACCACATATGGTCCCTCCCACTTCGGCAGAAGCTTTCCTGATCCTGGTCCACTTCCGGTAGTATACTTTCGTTCTCTACATTTCACCTGGTCACCTACTTCAAACAGCTTCCAAGCTTTGATTTGTTTCTTGCCATAATTTTCGATGTCTTTCTTGCGCTTCTCTTGTATATTCTGAATAGCTTGTTTCCGCTCATTTGTCCATCTCTTACTGTTCCATTTTTGTTGTGTTGGCCAAGTCTTATGGTGCACCGGTAAGCGTGGTTTCCTCCCATACATCAGCTGGAAAGGCGACTTTTTTGTTGTCCCTTGTACTGTGGCACGATGTGCTAGTAATACCAACGGTAAGTCAGTTTCCCAGTTGCCTCTTTTCGCAGCTAACCATTCCTTGAGTGTACGATTGTTCCTTTCGGTTAAGCCGTTTGTCTGCGGATGATACGGAGTCGCTCTAATCCTCTTAATACCCAGTGCCTCCAGACGAGTCTTGAACTCCTCACTTTCAAAACAGGGGCCTTGATCTGTCAATATCATTTTCGGTACACCATGATCCGCCACAATATGTCGAATGACCGCCTCGGTTACGGTCTTGGCGCGCTGATCTGGAATCGCTACAGCATTTACCCACCGCGTGGCGTGTTCCGTCATCATTAAAATGTATTGATTTCCACTTGCTGTTTGAGGGAAAGGACCCATTATGTCCACGGACCATAAGTCACCAACCGCCGTTACGGGTATCGTTTGTAGCTGCGGTCGAATGCACCGATCACCCTTCATCAATTGACACTGTGGGCAAGCGAGTACGTAGTTTGCAATATCGCCTCTCATGTTTGGCCAGTATGCACTTTGGCTCACTAGGTCGTATGTTCGTGTAACTCCTGTATGGGCTAGTTGGTGGCATTCTTGAATCACCCCACGACGAAGGCTCTTTGGTATCACTGCAACCCAGCTACCATCACTGTCTTTCCAAGTTAAGACGCCGGCAGCGTTTAGTTTGAGTCTATGTTTTTGCTGCAGTAGCATCTTTAACTCTTTATTCTCTGCTGCCATTTCAATTTCTTTCCCTTCACGTATCATCTGCATGACTGTCTTAAGAGTAGGATCCGACTTCTGGTGGCGAACAAGTTGTAAGGGATCTTGCTCCAAAGCGTTTACTGGATACGCTACTTCTGGTAGTTCAGTCTCATTATCTGACCTCGACAAATAGTCAGCTATTACATTTTCTTTTCCTGGAATATGTCCAATCGTGAAGTCATACTCTTGTAGGCGTAACATCCATCGTGATAACTTCCCTCGTGGATCCCGTGCTGTTTTCAACCACTGAAGAGGTTTGTGGTCGGTCTCAATGTGGAATCGGCGGCCGATCAGATATGGTCTCCATTTTTCTAGTGCCCATACGATAGCTAAACACTCCTTTTCCACCGTAGAATACTTCTGTTCTGCAAGTGTCAACACACGGCTAGCGTATTCAACAACCCCATCTGTTTGTCTTAAAACAGCACCTATACCATAATCACTG